ATATAAATCCTAAGATTTATTTATATGTTCCACATCTTCTAGTCATTTTCAAATTTCCTCTTCCTATTATTAAATCATATATTGATATATATTGATGAAATTATCATTTATTCTAGTAATTTCTTTCATTGCTAAATTAAACGAAAATAAGGAAACAGCGTAAGTAAATTATATCAAATATTAAATATTTACATAAAAATATATATATTATAAAATCTGTGTGTGATACTCACCATTAAATACAAAATCACATAACACAACCACTATCCACAAAGAATGACATAGAATAGTTTTCCACAGATAAAATCACGGCTGTATATCTTCGTGCAGGTGTGTCACGTCGAAATAAATAAACAAATATTGTCTATTGTATTAATGGAGTACATTTTATATGATTAATACACACGAGAGATTATTATTAGAGTTTAGAGACACGTCTCCTTGCCCGGGACGGCCGCCGAGATACGGAGGCTGTTTCAATAACTCGAAGCTTCCTAGACTGCGCAGACTCTTGCGTAACTATTGTCGCAAATAAGATAATTTTATACATTCATATAGGGCATCGCGTTAGAAGATAACACCTTTGATATACCAAACGTTTGCATTATTAATAAATAGATCAATTACTTGACACTATTTAAATATCCGTTAATTTATTTGTCATTATAATATTATTTAATTTATTACAAAAACAATTCATATATTAAATAATCAGAATTTTTCAAGTAACTTCAGTAACGTTCCAACGTACGAAGCTTCGACCGAACCTTCTTTCGGGAAAAGCTCCACAGCGCAGGCGTCGACCGGAAAATTGGAGTGAGACGGAAAGAAAAAACTCAAACAAAAGACTGAGATGGAGATATATGAAATAAATGCATACAATCTGTTGTCACGGCACGTTCGAATATTCAAAAAGTTAGCAACATTACCCTGTTTTATGTCATAAATTTTTACCTCAAACATATAAAATAATAAATAATATTAAAATAATAAGTTAAAATAAGAGTTTTCCTACAATTATAATGAATAAATAGAAAAGAATAATGTGACTTGCAATGAATGGTGCGCCCTAATATAAAGTATTATAATAAACAATGCAGATCTCGTTTCATACGAACGTAACCCAGTTCAGAAGGTTTCCTCTCCGGCGGTTCACCTGGATTCAACATTGACTTGTGCTATTACACTTGTAAAAGATTTCTCTTCAGGTTTTTTAATATAAATACGAACTTTAAACTAATTTATATACAATACATAACTAAGATAATAGTGTAATATTAAGTAAGTTGTTATAGCGACATCGTCAGTGATGGCCTAGTGGTTAATATTGAAATTACCCTTTTTTTATTACATGCATATGATATGAATATGTATAGAGTACATACACCAAAATAATATTTTTTACAATTTTTGTTTGTCTGTCTGTTTGTTCCGGCTCTGAAATAGCTTGCTTGACCCATTGTGATAGGATGTTTTTTTTAATTGTTAAATGGTTTAATTTCATATTAAAATATCGAGAGACACTTAAAGATAGTTTGGTAACCGCTCATATATGAAGTAAAGTAAATATATAAAACTCTCAAAGTAATATATATGTTTCAACATATATGTATGTATATATGTTTATTATTTCCTATAGCTCCTAACCGTGATCGTATCCTCAAAGTTTTCCACAATAAACAACATAGTTACACTGCACTAACCTTGACACGTGAACTATGCAGATTCGTTCCACCGGTAATTCTTTTATTAGTGTAAATTGACTCTTTATTGTCACCGGCTATCGGGATGGTCTCGGACACGAGGTGGAACCTCTACCACGGTCAAACTATCAGACAGAAACTACTACTCATATATATATATATTTATTTTCGGATACATACAACCCAAAAAAAAGGTTTTTTTTATACGGTAAAGTAACGTTTGCCGAGTCAACTAGTATATATGTATATATATGTGTGTGTGTGTGTGTGTGTAATGCAATGTGCTCAATAGCATATCCATTTAAATTTTTCACCCCATAACAAAAAAAAAACAATTCTATCGTATGTATTTTTTTCACTTTCAAACTGAAACTCTAATCTCGTAATATTTGTAATCGTTTGTGAAATATTTTCAGTATTAAAGTGAGACATCTAGTAAGGTTGTCAATAAATATTAATTTTGCGATCCGGTGACACCTAACCAGGATTGGTTACAATCAGTACGAACAGATCTCAAGTCAATACAAAATATAATATACGTAGAAGAACTTGTAAGGAAACATTAAAATATTATAAGTTACTAATTATAAGACGCTTGGATTATTATTCATATTTTTTGTTTTTCTAAGTAATAGTAAAAATATAACTATAGTCTTCTTAAATATAATAAATAAATTTCTTTATTACATTCGACAATCTCCTTCCTATTTCCTCCACACATTACTCAATATAAATTGTCCAACAAGTAAAAACGTTGACATTGGCAGTATTTTCCACGATTTCAGAGTAAATGAAGAAAGCATTAAAAATAATTAAAAAATATATAATTTACTTTGTTTTATGTCCTGATTTTTGTTAATTATTATCAAAAATATTTGTATTTATGTAACTTTTATTATAAACTAAGACCACAGTAAGGGAAGTAAGTGAATACTCGAGCACGTAGTATGCTGACCTAGTTCAGAAAGGTGTAAGGTCTGGTAAAAATATTTTAAACAAATCTAGTTCAATGTAATGCTTTAAAAATATATATATATATTATGATATACACGATAAACCATTTTTATATGTATGTATGTTTAACCAAAATTTAAAAAAATATACATTTAAAGTACAAAATACATGATTAGGATTCAAAAACAGTTTAGTGAATGAATATCTAATTGATAACAAAAATTCTTGTAAGGTATGTAAAAGATTATAATAATGTTGAAGTCAAAAATTGAAAGTGAAATAATTTAACGCAACGTTACATAAGTTAACAGTTACGTTGCGTTAAATGACTGATGCTACTTAGTTTTATACAGCAATAATTAATTCGTGAAAATAACACATTGAATTATAAACATTATATACTTATGAATGATAATATATACATGTGAGATTGAGTAATAATTAAAAATAGATTTAAACGGTTTAAAATGATTTTAAGCTACAATAATATCAGTGATTTTATTTTAATGTGACAAATTTTTACTAAACTATCAAATTAGCATTTAAACTCAATCGCCTATAATACGATTCATTATTATACTTATATTCTCTTTTTATTATTTAATATAATAGTCGTAACGTGGTCGTGATCGTGTCGTACATTGTAAATGTATGTTTCAGTTAAGCCGGCTACATCATTTCAGTTCCGTAGCCGTTACTTTTTAGCCGGGGAGTGCTCTTCGGAAGGAAGGGTAAAAGCGATTAGACGATAGATAACTTCGCTTCGGAGAAATGTTTGTTGATCTCCGAGATTAGTCGGCTCTTTTTATTGCTGGAAGTTTTTGTTCCATAATCATTTCTCATTTTGTATTCATGGAATAGTTTGTGGAAATATTAAGATGAATTCCACTGAATGAAACATCGTTAATTGCTATTTTGGAATCATAATATCTATTTCCTAGCTTGATGAATGCAATGTCTAAAACCAGTGTAATATCGGAATTAAAACAAATTCGTTGTTTTTAAATAGTGACGTCAGCATTAGTGACGTCACTAATGTCACTTCTTTCAGTACGTTCCATGATATTTTAAAATGAAATTTCAATTGTTCTTAATGTTCTTGTATTTCTCGAAGGTTCATAATCACATTCTTCAATGGTAACACTCACTGAATTCTACTATCGTGCGTCCAGACATCATATTTATACCAAAACTCAAACATAGTTCTATTCTCCTTTAAACGGTCTTTGATTTCGTTTTACTTTTAGCAATAATCATGAATACTAATAAGTTTTCATTTCGTAACCGTCATAAATAGTGCCCATATATATTATTCGTGCTGCATACCCTATTTATTGTGTGTCAGAGTGTTCCCCCAACGTCATTACTCACACCATGACATCGTCTCAAGTCCTACACTTGATAGAAATTCACCTACAGGCATACATTCAACTACTAACGATCTACTATTTGTTATCGTGAATAGATAATTGGAATGTACGTTAAACATAGAGAGATACATATTTTAAAGTAATAAATAATAAACTTTGAATTAACCTTTATGATGTTTAAAGTTAAAATCGGTGCAAATAGAAGGGTAAAATATATTTAATTTACGTTTACAACAAGCTTTATTTCATTTGTATACTTATATTTTGGGCATTCTTATGTTGTTCACTAATTTTGATATATAAATTGTTACATATTATTAATAACTTAAAAGATAAAAGTCGTACATTATTATATTATATTTATTAGTATTGTTGATCAATTACCAAGTTTATTTCAAAATAATCTCATATGACGTCTGTGCAATGACGTTTCTAACATTGAAGGATGTTAAAGTAATCGTTAAATTAAATTTTTAATTTTACGGGTATCTGTAACGTTTATATCGTCACCTACTGTCAATTAAAGTTACTATTAGAAACGCTTTGACAAAATAGAAATTTACCATTCATTACAAAGGTTTTCATATTTAAAGTACTTAGTTTAGGGTGTTATTATTATATACATACATATACATAATTATAATTCTTTTCTCAGATTGACTGAATTCTTACTAAAAATATATATGCGTTAGTAAAACAATAGTCTTTATGATGCTACTACGTCTGCGTTCTCATTTCTTTAATTACATTTCTCAGTACTCAGTAATTGATAGCAGCTTTAATTATCAACTCAGACATATAATTAGTTATAGAGAATAAAAATAAATAAACATACAACAAATAGGATTTATTTAATATCAACCCGTAACAAAGTCAATTATTAAAAACATAAGCTTATTAACAAAATAGGAATTATGGATGTAGATTAAAAAAAAACGATGATATATATTTATATATAGTCTGTGGTTGTATGCTAGTCTATGGTGACTCTACTTTGTCTATAGGAGTCTCCCACGACACTAGATATCGTGTATTTCTGATACGTATTCTTAATATCAAGCCCTGTCTCGCCAGTAGTGTCACCTAGAGCAGTGGCGACATCATTCCGTTTCTTGAGCCCTAAATCTAGATTGTATCGAGGAATGTCGATACCAAGGCTTCTAGTACTAAGACTCCTCGCTATGGATTTGGTTCGTTTCACACTGAAGCTGTCTTTGGGCAGGCGGACGTCGTACAAGGGGTTAATGACCCCGGTGAAGGTCTGGTTGTTGAGCGTCAGACGGCTCAAGTCGAGCTGGTCCGTGTGGATCGGCTTGGGTGTGAAGTCGGGATACTGAGGCTGGTGATAAAAAAAAAACTAAGATTTGAAGATAAACTAAAACATAAAATAAAAAAGGTCATTTTGTGTGTCATGGTTGTAAAGGAACCGAGACGTTGGGAGTATGTATTTATAAAATAATAAAATACTTTCATTAAAACGAATACTCGTAAAAATCTTAGATATCAAACATATTCAATACATTTACAAGTCAATATCGGATACATCTTATATGAAAATTATACTAAATTATATTAGAGACTTGAGACTTCACCTGTCTGTCAATGTATCGTGTTGGTGGTGGGGGGAGGGGGGGAGGGGCCTCGTCATCCGTCACGTGGTCGGGGGACCGAGCGCGGTACCGCTGGGGGGGCTCCGGGGGGCCTTCACGCTCAGGGAGCCTCCAGGTACTGTAAGGAAGATGTAACATAGACAACTGATGACTTGTATCATGTTAATAAAGCTTAGGATTTGTTTGCACTCGTACTATAAGTAAACATTGGAATAACTACAAGTTATTATTCTCTAAGTAAACTGATTTGTGATTAAATTGTTCTTAGATAAATGTTCTGATGGAAGGAAAAGATTTGAAAAGCAAGTGCTATACGAGTAAATATTATTTGTATTATTTTCGAAAATCAATAATATATAAGATTACATTGAGTGTAAGTTCCGTTTACTATGTTTATCTTGTTTCGTTAGTTTGTTTGCAAGCAAGGAGTAGATGTGTGTGTTTGTGTGTGTTTATAATACGTATATCTCACTCTGTGTGTCTCTCCGCGCTCCTTGCTCTAGCGGCCCTCGCGAGACGGTGAAGGGCGAATAAAGCACCCTCACTGGCAGGTCCCAGGCGTGGACATAGCTCCTGTAGAGTCTGTGAAACACACATAAATCTCTTCACTGAAGCACATTATACATCATAATGCTTTTTACTTGATATGTCTTGTATCTGACCGAAAACTTCCCCGCGTGCAACATAGCGGGCACCAAGTCCCCTAGTGCGAGATGTAGGACTCCCCCCCGTGACGTCATCACTCCAAGAGGACTCGCCCGGGACACGACCCATTCATCGCGAGCTGACCAAGAAGATTCCTCTACATCTGACGCTCCTGATTCCTCCACTGGTTGATAAAAGAACCAAATTAAAACCAGATATAAAGCAACTTCAAAATCACACAATATACTGTGCAAATAAAGTCAGTTAGCCAAGCTGTACCAGTGAACCTTAAATTGCTTTGGAGATATATTTACATAATACAATTTGGAAATATAGTGTTTTAGATTATATGTATAATAGCTTACCTAACGAAATCTTTAATGAAAAAACCTTTACTATTTTAAGAATGAAATTATTAAGTTATTGTAAAAAACACTTAGATTAACTACTCTAAAATTGTATAAGTCGTTACTACTATACTAAATTGTTCATTAAATTAAATTATGTAATACATCTCATTTAAGTGAACATTGTATGTTCTTTATGAGAAATAAAGTTCTTTAACCACTAGACAGATTCATCGGATCTACCTAAAATTACCTTGGAGATATATATTTTCAAGCTTTTTTAACTCACCAGATAAAGCGTCTTTCACACTGTTGATGAAATCCAAAGTCTCCAGTATGGTCGGTCTACTCAAAGTCTCTTTGCTCCTCACAGTAGACCCGGCAGACTGGGGTCTTTCCTTCATTTCTTTTATGCTCTCTACAGGATCCGAGTACACCAGACTTCTCAATGTGTGATACTTCCTCCTTAATGTTTTGCTGTCTGATAGATTTGTTATGGTGATTTCCGGGAAGCCGTATGTAGTAGCCGGTCTACTTCTTCGTGATCTTCTTCTCACCCTGGCCTGCTCGGGAGATGCTTGACTACTCGGTATAACATCAGGTTTCGTATTGTTCCTCCAGTAGTTACCGTTTTTGACACTAGCAAGGATCTCCTCTGTACTCTCGTAACGACACATTTTTGATTGTGATCTGATTACAAACATATATTTCTATCAAGCAAACAATTAAATATGCTTATTCTTGTATATTACAGAAATAATTTTAACTTTATAACAAACAAACATACATACATTACGAAATACATTTAATGAAATATGTTTTCTTGAGTTAAACTTGTCAACTACATTCAATAAATCCACCAAATCCTTTTATTTCTTGACCACAATACATATTTCGTAAACAAATATTTATTTTATATGTTTTGACTGTATGATATAAGTCCATTAATGTTGAAGTTATCACATATTCTTACATACACCGTACACGTTATTCTTGTTGAACATTCATGTAAATATAATACATAAGACATTTGATGTTGTGAGAACATTCCAGAGACTTATAAGGGTTTGATTTTGATTCGTAATTATAATAAAATACGTATCATACTGTATATATTGTGATATGGTTTTCTCAATCAGTAAAATTTATTAATAATAGCTGCCAAGCTACTCTTATTTTTAAAGATAGATAGTTATGTATCTTAAACTACTAGATCCAATATATATTTTTTTTATTGAACTTCTAGAATTCTAGGTTATTACAGAGTTTTATTATTCTTATTCTGTCATTTTTACTATCTGATAACCAAATACAGATATGAAATCGTTAATGCATACAAACAGAGATTTTCCATAACTTTTTTATATTTAATTTCTTCCTCATACTGATGGTACCTACCTTCCGATCATAACGTTGTTGAAGGCGGCTAGCACACATCGCTTAGCCAGACGCAGCTTGGCCTCAGCCTTGTCACGTCTACTTAAAGTGAGATGAGAACGTTCTCTAGGAGGTAACTTCACGACAGAGGATACGGCGAGACCCTCACCCGTCGGAAACACTACACGGAAGTCTACGGAAGATAAAATGGAAGAAACTAAACATATAACTTCACGAATCTTTATAAAATCTTCATGTGTTAAAGACGTCGTAATGCGGCTTCCCATCATTCAATATATTCACCGTGCGTGTGTCGGGTTCATCGTTGCAGGGAGAGGAGCTTCAACAGTGACTGGGACTTGCGACCCAGGTGTAGGTTTAAGGGGTCCCTATCTAACGTGCGTTAAACGCTCACCTCCACTTTCCAAGCTCCTCTCTCTACCTAACGAGACTTCGTAATAATTAAGTTTGATGAAAACCTTAGTGAGAATACGAAATACTAACGACTCGATAAACGAAATACCAAAAACATGAAAATAAAAAAATCTTAATGGACTTTGTATAAATTATTTGTATAATCTGAATCCCCTTTTATTCAAATTCCTTTATAAAACAAGAAACAATAATGTTTACTCCGCGGTAGAGTTGTCTCTTTTGTGAGACAGTTTTTCTTTTATTGCCTCGACCCTTTCAAGTGTAAGTTGATCCCTCAAATTTTTACCCCGCGATCCCCCGAGTACAATGGAGTGGCACTTTCATTAATTAACATAAAAAATATAATTCCTTTACTGCTGTGCTTTTAAGAACGAAAAGAAAAATACTATTTAAATGAGACATAGTAATTATTTGCTCAAATATTTTTTTAAATAGTCTCCTACAATGTGTAACATAACTGATAGTCGAAAGGATTAATTTTTTAATCAAAATGATGTTAAACTATATATTGTACTTTAACTGAACGAAGAAAAAATTCTTCTATATTTATCTTAAGCTTATCTGTCTTACTAACTACACTCTTCCACAAAACAATTTCCACTTATTACTATTACATTATTGAAGTATTTTCTCCATTTTTTTAAATATAAACTATATTAATATTGTATTAAAGAACTTCTTAGTAGTTTCTTTGTGGCCACATTCTACCTCACATTCATTTCACATACATACATGAATTTAAATGTTCAACTATTTTTAGTGAAATCGTGTATAATATGGCGGAAATTCTTCTCAAAAATTTCAATAAACTTATAATAAACCGATTCTTATTATCAGCATTAGCTTAAAACAGTTGGGTTAAATAGAAAAATAGTAATATTTAGATAATACATATAAATATAATTTCTAACCTACCAAAAACTACCCTAATAAAATTGACTTCAATTTCCTTCTAAATCCTAAGCTTCAGTAACATATTCATAGAAAAACCTTTTCATAGAAACAGGCTGGGGATCAAGTTACGATGGTTAAAATGCTAACGTATTCCTGGATAGAACTAGCGTCAAATTACGCTCCCGAGGGATTACATATGATGGAGCTACCGTTTTATACGGGAACAGTAATTTAAAGGGAATCATGTCATTAGCCTCTATTTATTATTACGAAGTCTTGTATTATTGTTGTTTAAAGAATTAGTTTGACATTTAAATGAAGTTAAATTACTACTAGGACAAAACTCTTCAGTGTGGAAATTACATGTATAATTTCACTCATTACTCTGTACAAATTTTCCATCCATTATCTCTATTTACTTATACACACTAAACAGTAAATCTTAAGTCTTAATTTACTAACCTGTATGTCTGTATTTGTTCACAAGTTCCATCATAACCCTGGCCCAGCCGTACTTGCCCCCCGCCACTACTAGCCCCTCCCCCGCGTCCCTCCCCCCCAACACCGACCTGCAGTACTCCTTCAAACCGTCCAACTCAGATGAACTCCTGACATCGAAGCCTTCGAGGAAACAGGAGTTCTCTGCAGCAGTGGTATATAGCTGGTGTAGATAAGGCTTCAACACCGGCCCTAGGTACTTCTTATCTTCCTTTGCCCCTGTGTATGATGGTGACACACAAGTCAGGGCACAAATATATATGTATATGTAATTAGTTAGGAAACTGATATGAAATCTTCTAGAGGCTGTATAGTAACTTTGATTTCTGTTCCTGTCAATGAATTTTTTAATTTTTTATGCTAAAGGGAGAAACTGAGTAGAGGGCTTATCCGATTAAGGATATACACATCCGATATACAGGCCGATGCACATCCGCAACATAGTTTTGTGGACGTATTGCACCCTTGATTAGGGAAAAGGGGTAGGAAAGGTTAGAAAAAGGGAAAGGAGAACCGTCTCTCTCTCTCATCGGACGAAACGCAGTCATTAAAGACTACTTCACGCTGATCTTCTTTGAGAGTCAACCCAAGTTTGAGCTGTAGTTACTAGACCACAGCTAGCTTGTATTACCTGTACTAACATACATATTCTATAAAAATTTAATTCTAGAAGAGGAACTAGTTACTTCTGGATGCTGGGCTGTAATGTGTAGTTCGTACCTTTCTGCAGCCAGCTGATGGCATGTCTCATGATAGTGACTTCCTCAGTCAGATCCTCGCGGACCAGGTCAGGGTCACGTCGGACGGCGTCTATGAGACACGCGGAAGACGCGTCGTAATAATCCTTCAGCTTGCTCCACTTCTTAGATCTTTGGATATTAATTATTAATTATTGTTAATTGAAAACATCACATGTTGGCCAAAAGCAAGGTTAATGGTAAGATTCGCTACCAAATAACTTTAGACATAGAAAAGAAAATAAAAGGCGAAGACATAGAAAAGACTAAAACAAAATTAATTTAAATGTCAAAAAACAATAAAAGAAGGATATAAAATATAAGTAAATAATTATAATACTGTATAAAAACAGTTATAATAAATAAATATTAGGATTCAAGTTTCTTTAAGAAAGCTTGACGAAGTCTTATCAATAGACTCATAAATCATTCTACATATTTTTTTATAGAATTTGCCTTATAAGTTGTGTCACAAGTAACAACTAACACAAATGTTCCTAACATATTTTAATTAATGATAAAACTAATTCAAGTAGTTAAAAAACAGTCTATTTTAAAATCAAACTCGTGATGTAAGTACTTTGTTTGTTTTTGAACTAAATTATACGTCCATTAGGGTGCTCATTGTATTTTATTGAAAAGAAAAAAAGTAATAAGATTTCTCAAACAAAAGTCAATACCGCTAAGCTAACAACATAACTTCAAACATCTACGAACTTATTCGAACGTATATATATGCTTTTGATTATTATTCTTATCTATTACAATACAATAAAAATAATGATAATATTGCCAAATACATGAGGTGCCTTTAATATAGGTCACGAATATTCTAAGAAAGACAAGAAACGAAACATATCGCTTTAAGCTTCTGATAAATTTAAGAAGTAAATTCTGAATATAAATAAAGTTAATGGTTAAGAACTTTATTTTGTTAATATTTTAATTTCACGCGAAGAAAATTGTTAAAAAATGAAATTGTTCAACTAGGCCCCGGCGAGATTCGAACTCGCGATCTCCTGTTTACTAGACAGGCGCTTTAACCAACTAAGCCACGGCGCCGATGGACGACAACTCGAAATAGCGGATCAATTACTGTAGTCATATTATCTCAATATATCATTACTGCTCACCTGCTCTATATCGATTACACTTTACTAAAAAAACTTTCATAAAAATATACGAATATACAATATTTGGGTAAATTTAACTCAATTGTCACAAAACTATTTAAAATATTAACCTTGTGAAAGAACTTACATGACGTAATAAGTATTTTATTTTAATTCTTCAATCAAACCCGATGTTATAACGAGATTACAATACAAAATTATGATAATTAAATATTAAAAATATTCTTATTCTCACATCAACGAGTTTACACATTATGTTTGGTATTAAACCTAATAATGAAATTTAAAATTTTGTAAAATTAATTCCTATGAAAAATATAAATTCTGATAAACGTACCTATGTTGAAAGTTGCATCGAAATTAAATTCCCCACAGAAATTAAATGAAGCTAGCGCCAGTCGTTTGAATGTAAGGCAACGAATAAAGTTATAAATGTTAATATATTACAAAGCACTTTGAACTACAATTTATTAATAGTTATGCTTCGGAATAAAAATTGTTATGAAGTTTATTTGTTAACATCACTTTTGCATTGATATTAATGTGTTTATTAGCGCTATAAAGTATGTTTTTTGTACTCTGACAACAAATGCAAATGCAAATTCTGTCTTTTTTTATTTGGTAGTTTTTAAACGGAATAGGACTTCGGAATTTGGTTTCAAAAAAATTAACATACAGTAGATTTAAAGAAGTATTTGGTATCCAATAAACAGCGCCATCTATAAGCTCTGTCACATAAGTTCATATTACATTGTTAATGTTTTGATATGATCCTGACGGATTTCAAGGAAATCTATAACAATCAAAATAAGATATAACTAAAAAGTTTTATCAAAATCCACTGAGTAATCCTTTGTGATAAAAAAAGGAAAATCCGTAAACCAAATGATTAAATTTATAAACCATAAATGTACAGTAAAAGTTATTTTTATAAATTTTAAGTAGAAATGTCATTCACGAATTGCTCAGAATTGTGGCTCAGAATTCTGGTAACGACTACTTTTATGTAAAAAAATCTACTATTAATACTAAATATTTCTCACTTCCCAAGAAAAGGGCACAGATAGTATTGCATCAGGCTTATATAATTTAAATATTACTATGAGATACAAACCTGTAAGCTGCCAGCTGAGGGTCGTTCCCGTCAGTCATCCTCCGCTCCCACAGGTACAGGTCCCTGCCCTGGTCCAGCATCACAGCCAACAGCTGCACGAGATGCTCCACACCCTCCAGGGGCAGAGACGTCCGCTGGTGAGGCTGGGGACGGAAGACGCCGGGGTCATCCTATAAGACGACGCATGGAAAGCTATTGGCAATGAGATCTAAGATTTTCACGAGATTTATTCATTATATTTTTCGGATTATTACACATATTTTATTACATATTTTAAACTTTTACTTTTCAGCAACCGTGATCACGGACAGACGAGATATGAATCTCACATATCAGAAAAGTAGCTGAAACGTCGGGAGTATGTAGTTTTTTACAAAAATAATTCGCGGAGTATAATCCGAAAAATATTAGTTTCATTTAAAAACTATTGATTTTGAGCTTAACCTAAAATCATACCAAAGCTAACAGCCGTAAATTGTAAATTACCAAAAAGGTGATTTCGGCAAGCACCTAAAGATAGCGTTGTGTTTATTATGATAGAATTTACAGGCGTTGAGGATTAAAATTTGTTTCTGAATACTCGGATTATTAACTCTGATATTTATTGTCAACACAATTAAGAAGCAATTACAGAAGAAGGGCCACTGGCATATAACAAAGATAGTATATCGTCACGACAATATAAGATGTCATACTTCTTAAGTAAAGAGGAAATTACTAGACGTTTATTGGGTAGTAACATTCCGTTCAGAGAGACTGAGAGATATTTGACTTATATGTATATTTTTTTTATAGAAATTATAAAATTTTTGTAAATACCTTTTCTTTATTTTCTTCCTTTCGAAATATATCAAAAATATAATTTGATCGCTAAATTTACTATTCCATATCAGCTGTTATCAACTCACATAATTTATCATATTCTTGCACACCAGTAGTTCTCTCGCGACTCTAGCCAAGTACACTAAATGTACTTTGGCGAAGCCTCCTCCAACTGACCCGGGGTCTCTTACCCCTGGACCCCCCGGACCTCCTAGTCCCCTTCCCCTCACTCGCCCACACAGAGCCAGCTCCAACTTCTCTGCCGGTGTCTGAGGGATCTCTTCGCCAACTGACAAAAGGCCTTTTTAAACTTGGACTTTATAGTCATTACTTATGATGTGTACCTTACATACAAGTTACATAACTTTGTTATTCTCGTGAATATAATTAATGAAATTTGGACACTAAAATTTAAACAATACTTGCGTGGAAGGAGTGATTCGATATTAATGAGCATCTGAACAAGAACTTCAAAGCGTCTTTCCTATCACTCATATTTAATTAATTATTGATATTAAAAGTAAGTGAGTGACGCCGTTGTTTTATTAATAAAGTGTGCATTAACAAAATCCTAAGTGGATTCCACAAAATTTATTTATTTACAACAAGCACATTTACAACATACATATTGAATATGTACAGTTAAAGTGACTATATTAAAACATCACATATGTACGTCAATGACAAGTGTACATAACATTTACTAACTATAAACAGTGCACGATTAAAAAGATGAAATTGATATGACCAAGAACATTCTTATCCAAGACATTTTTATTCATTAAGTTCCCTTACCAGCCACTCTATGTAGGTACATGAGACAGTTCCTGATAGCAGTAGCATCCTCCCTGCCCCCCGCGTCCCTCGCCCCGCGCCTCGCCCCCGCCTCGCGTGTCCACCAGAACACAAACCCTGCAGGGCCGCCGTGCTCATACAGGTGAAGCAGACTGGAGGATAGAGAAGAACAATAAGCACTGGGGCTTATATTTATAAAAAAATCCGAAAATTTCCGAAACAATAAGAAAAATTACGTCATAAACACTCTTCTCAACCTATGTGAGGCCCTTTATACATTTTTTTATGTTTATTGTGTTACGATTGGCCTGAAGGGCTCTTGCCACAAATACACAAAGTATGAGGAACTATTCTAAGTCTTTTAACATTATACAGTATTATCAAGTTTTCTCATAGAGATTTATCAACTGAATACACCAGTATGTATAGATACACAGTATTAATAACACAGACAACATAACTTAATTGTGAACCAATTAAAAACCATTAAATTAAAACAGTAGCTTCCCTAAATTAAATAAAAATTGAAATAAAAATATCAAAAAATATTACATATTGTATAAAGTAATGATTCATTTGTATACTAAAAAGGTAGTGGATCTTACTTGTCTAGAACAATGAGCAAGTGATGAGCGGCATGAGCGGCGGGCAGTAACGAAGACACACCTCTCATCGCCGCACACCGCTGCAGACGATGACGGAGGGCACAACTAGTGGTGTAGCGACTCAGGAGGTGAGCGGAACCCTTGGAAGAAAATCAATGAACTTATTAACAAGACTCACCATGTAGAACTATAAAAAGATTGGTTTTCGCGTTTCTGTTACCTGAAAACATCCCTCCCTCATTTTATCAACTAAACTGTTAAGGGCTCCAGCTATCCTGGCTACCGTGGACTGATCTGAGAAGTGTCCATCTAACATGGCCTCCAGGGTCGGGTTCCAGAGTTGCCAGGTGGCGCTGCGGTCTGCTATCGATAGGGATGTAGGTGGACCCGCGGCTGCTGCGTAGTAACCCTAAAAACTACATTTCTTGACTTACCTAAACTATTATACTATTTTAAATAACTTACACATACATACACTTTTTTTTTGCTTTATTTGAATAATAGTATCTTTACATATAAAAGAAAGTTCTGTTAGTAACACTATTTACAACTCAAGAATGGCTGTTGGGATTTGATTGAAAATAGGCAGGGAAATAGCTTAGTACCAAGAAACGGATGTAGGATATTTAATTCAAAAAAACTTAATAAATTCCAATATCTGCTTATATGCCTCTAGGACGGAATAGAGTTCACCCTGTCAGCTATACATATATTACTAATTCCGAAATTACTACGAACGAAGTCGCTGTCAAAAACTAGTTACAAATAAATCCGCTATGCTACTCACGTGTTGAGCAGCAGTATAGTGCAGCAATGCAAGTGGATGTGTCAATGGTACTCTAGTGGTGTATGAATTTTCGCTACAACCAGCCACACGAGCTGCTAGCATCATCTTGGCTTCGTCCTGGCCGGGACCCACGCGCACCATGACCCATGAAGCTCCTTCTACTATAGCCAACCTTCGCTCACTGGACGCCTGGTAACTAACTGGTATAAAGAAATAATAATTAAACGGTATGAAGAAATTGAAAAGAACTAGATTTGTTGTATAAAATAGTGGAATTTTTTACAACTACAACCGACTTTAATTGGAGAAAAATTAGCCTCTGTAAACTACCCTATGTGATCCATAGTTTAAGACGAAGATATTTTTCTGATGTAGTTATATGTATATTATTAAATGTAATAAACTTTAAGTAATTCGTTGTTTATTATATATTTTTAATAAATAACTTATTAATTTTTGGTAAACAAATCACAGAGTCAACAAATAAACGTATGAGTTTCAAAGGTATCGTAAACAAAGTTTCAAACGAATTTGTGTTGTGTTTTCAACTGGGACATTTCACGAGCCAGTTTTAAATAGCTTTCTGGAAAGTTCGACTGCGATTAACTACAAGTTTGTTATTGTTGATTGTGGTAATGTAGTTTGTCCGCGGTAACCTATTGTTAGACATTAATTGTAGCGATATATTAATTTTATTGCGTCTTAACTATAGATTTTTCTAGACCTGTGATCGGCGAAGATCATCTCAAGGATCCAAGTCGCTTTTTAACCCCAGGGTCTTTTCTCTAGGGTCTTTCTCCGTGGCCTTTTCAGCCCCTTGGATTAGATCTCACAAAACTGTCCATCGTAGGCGCAATAATATCATCATTTTCAAAAAAACTTGTTCAGATAATCATTACATATTATTTCGATAACGTAAATGTGTTTTATATATCAAAAACTTATATTTTTTTGTGTAAGCTCAAAGATAGGTATGTAATTAAAATTTTAAATTGTTTTAAAAGTACCAAAGGCATCAAGAAAAATTATCAATTTTTATTAACGTTAACACAAGTCATGTGAAGCTACCGGCTGTATTTGTTTCAGTACGGTTTTGTTTTATCCACTGTTTGTCCAGGTATCCTACCTTATTTAAGCGTTGACATGTATATTTTAAAGTAACAGTATATCTTTCCAGTATTATATTACGCCAGCTATGTGTGTTTGTGCTGCCGATACAAAATTCACCATCGATTTTTTGTTAGCATCTACGTTTGTCGAATTGTTGTAAGTTTTCTATATTTTTGAATAAGATAATAAGTTTAGTTATTCTGATGATGGAAAAATCTTTTATGTGCAGTTACTCATTGATTAATTTAATTATTTTTTTATGAAATTATTATAACTATAAAAAGTTATAAATATACCAATCCTTTACACTTAAATTGAAGATGTTTTTATAATTATTTAATATTTGAAAACTAAGAATAAATATATTTGGAACATTTTTATTAGCCATCCAATTAACATGACGCTCAAGAAGCAAATAAAAATGTAAGCTGAGAACCAGCAATTTAAAGTTGAGTGGACCGAGAGTTTTGCGTTCATTCAAACTTTATAAACTTTATTAGACTTCCGACATGTATTAATTGTAAGGAAAAATTTAGTCATAACAAAAAGACAAATAAAGCGATACTTTCAAAGAAAATACACTTCATTTAACACTAAATTTCCTATGTATTAGCAATGCAAGGTAGAAATCAGTTGATCAACTTCAATAGATTCAAGTGCCATCATGATCTGTGTTTAATAACTGGTTGCAGTCTTATAACAATATTAGTAAAGCAAAAATTAGTTTTCAGCCAAAAGGTTGCTAATATAAGCCGTACACAAAAACTACGTACATGCATCCGAAGAATTTATTTCAGGATTAAAAACAAAGCAGATATTCTAAATAGAAGTAAAAGTTAATATTTTTCTTCAAAACCAGTAATAATGAACAATTAATACTTGTTTAATATAACTCAGTATGTAGTAGATTTGGAACTGGTTCGGATTCATTAATAGAAAAGGAGTCCAGTGACATAAATAATACAACGAAAAACTTAGTTCATGTCTGATTTATGTGTTATTATTATTTTAAAGAACGTCATTATTCGTCATTTAAATCTTAACTGAAAAGGAAAAGAAATTGTGTTTTTAACCTTATAAGAAGAAATTCGAAACTAAGTTATTGATTTTTGCTCAGGATTTTAGAAACGAAACATTGTTTCGCTGAATCATAACTATCATGTGAATCATCAATCAAAATTTGTTACATTATTACTATCAAAAACTATTTCAAAACAATAACTTTAAATATAAGGGAAGCATTTATTATCAGGTTTAAAAAAGCTAAAAATACCAGAGCATTTTTGACATTTGCCAAAAATTCACTTAACGTTTCAGTTAATTATGAATGAATTTAACATAAGTAATTCTCAATTCTACCAAAGAATTCACTTCATAAATATATCCTTACCTTTCTCTATATAGCAGTATTCTCCAGGCTTTGCGTGTGCAGCAGCTCGAGCACTCATCGCCCTGGAGGCTCCTCCGCCGCGCCCGCAGGCACCCTTGGCCACTAACTGGACCCAACGCTCTACCAACTTGTCTCTAAAAAGGGAGAATATAAGAATTATTTACATTTATATATACTGGACAAATACCAATAACTGTATCAGTGCCAATGTGATTTTTCCGAGTCATATGTTCTTTCTAAGAGTATTTAGACATCACTGAGAACGGTGAAGGAAAATTTCGTGAGGAAACATGGACTTATAACCTATTATAAGTTTGAAATCACCAACCCGTCTTAAGCGAGCGTGGTGATTAATGCTTAACCATGTGAGAAGAGGCGTTTTGCACAGCAGTGGGCTCTGATAGACATATGATGATGATGATGATAATATATACTGATACCTAAGACTTTCGCGAGTATTCATTTAAATAAAACTAAATGTTTTTAAATTACTACGCGTATTTTATTATTCTTAAAAATCACATACTCCTGACGTTTCGGTTACTTTACAGCAATCGTGATCACGGGCAGATGAGATCTTCGCGAAATATATGTTTCATTTATATGTAGGAATTAAACATGTGCTTATGATATACAAATAAAGGAAGAACATTTTTTTAAAGTTTTCTATTAATGATGCCTTAGTCTTTAGATAAATAGTTTATCTTTGGTGACGGCCAATATCAAAACAAATTTATCAGTGTTTAGTAAAGTTAACACTAGAACACATATTGCACCACAGGTTTGGTTCTGTTTGAACTTATCGACAATAATATTTTATGTATTTATACATATATACATCTAAATGTCATTCAGTATTTCACTGAACTCCTAAACGGCTGGACCCAGGTTATCTAGGTTATTTAAATTGAAAAGGCTGCAACGTAGATTACTATATATGTATTGTTTTAACACATTTTATACACTTCTCTCTGAGCTCAACTCTGATGTTCAAACAAATGAAGTCGCGAACAAAAACTATTTTATTTATATATTTTTATTCAATTATTATTATTTAAAACAAATTATCTTCTGTCTTTTAACTTACTCGCTTGTATAATGAATATTGAGTATTCCAACCAATAAAAACTTACAGGTAGTATAGACACGTTAAATTAAAACAATGTGAGAAAAGACTTAACTACTGCTTATAAAAGTTTGATGTAATTATTTATCAATTACAAGAATATGTAATCAAATCACTTCTTTTTTGTAAGTTATAAAGCTATGTCAAGGAAGAAAACCCTACTAATAAACAACCATAACTCTACAATTTTATTTGTCAAGACGGCCCAGCAACTATATTGTTAAGATAGACCCAAATAATCGTTTTCACATAAAAATATCGAATTAAATCCAAAATAGATCTTATCACAATGACGTAATTAGACTTTTTTTTATTTAATGATCTTTACATGAAAAATAACTAATAAAGTATTCTTTACTGCACATACCTGCATAAATATCCATTAGCAGTGATAAACTCAGCCCACTTATCAGCTTCTTTGCCAGAGAGTCTGATCTTCCCAAATCCCACGGGACCTTCCACCAGGCGACACTCTTCAGAACTGTTCAAGACTGGCAGAGAGTCCAGGGTCACGAGGTATTCCAGGGAACGAGAACGTATCTAAAATAACCAAAACAGGATACTTTAAATAATACACGATGAGAATAATTAAAGACAAAATATGGTGAAAAGAACTGCGTTATTGCAGCTGATGAAAATATAGAACCGTGTTCGGGAATTGAAAACTATGTCCATTACCTGTTCAAGGGACTAAATTGTACCTACATATGTATGTCTTATACCACGAATGAAATTTCATTTGAAAAGATTCTACTGCTTCTTTAGAAGTTGATTCAAGATCATGATTAACTTCGTTTAATCAAAATGAAAAGTATTTAGTAATATTTTGTCTATATTTATTCTTTGTAAAAAATATAAATGCAATACATACATATAAATGTAAGTAGATATAACTTTCATTATTTCAATGAAAGAGGAAATCTTTTTTCCTTCAATGTTCATCGCACTTATGCTATATTACTCTACGTAACATTTGGTTGTTATCAAACCTTCTTATCTCTGTGCAGCGCTATCAGATGACAGCATCTGAACCGCGGGTCTCTCTGACCGGCTCCGTCTACTATTCTCTGGACCAAGTTCTCTATAGACACTTCCGTCTCCACAGACATACGACCTTGAGAAGATTTGGGAATACATTATTTACAAGCACTATATTTTAGAAAATTACTACTACATATAAAGCGTAACTACACATTTCGAGACTCGTGGAAAAATTTATGGGACGGGCCCCCTGACCCCCCCCCCCCCTTAACGTTTAATAATAGTTTTTTTTAATACTCATTTATACACTTTATTCGTAAATTTACTAATAATCACTGGAGGAGGCCTTTACCTTCTTCTTCTTCTAACAGAATCATCACAATATCTTTTGCAATAATTTTAGTACATCAAATAAATAAATATGTATTATTTTTCTCATCTGACCTAGAGCCCCTTCTAGATTCGGGCCCGTGTCATTTTACCTTACCACCCTGTAGTTACGCCACTAGCTATATACTATACAGGTAGTGAAAGAACAAGACTTCTCTACGTAATCTGAATGAAATAACTTTATATCACACATACCGCTGAGATCCTCTTCATAAAGAGTGTCGACGTATGAGTTGAGTGACCTGACCTGTTGACTGCTGAACCTCAACCCTGACTCCGGCAGACGAAGGTCAGACCCTGGCAGATCGTCCGCTGGAGAGGAAGACGAGGAACCCATCACTGGAACCAAAGAAAAATATCATAATATTATGATATGTATGATATATCATATGTAGTATCATTATTATGCTATAGCTTCTACTACTTTATGATCCACACTCATTTCTACTATCAGAAATTAGTATAGTTAAGTTCAAACTTCATGTATAATTGTATATTTTTCTATGTTTTTGTATTGGACCTTTATATTCTCCTAAAAAACTATATTACGTCTAATCAGTTGTAGTTTTTGTACCGTTAAATGGTCATTTTGATCTTTGTGTGACAAACAAAGAGAGCGAAATAAAATATCATCATATTGCAATATTGTGAGTAGTTTAACAGATATGAATCAAAATATGTGTGCACACCCTACCAAATAAGTTACCAAGTAAGTATGTAAAAATAATTTATTTTACTTATTAAATAAAGGTTCATAATTTCCAAAGAGAATTCAATAAATGATTTAAAACAAAAAAGGTTTTTGCAATCAATTTAATGATTAATCCCTATCAATTTAAGGTTATTAAAAGGAGTACGAAATTGACTTTCATACTAGGAGAAAAAGTTAGTTTTGGGACTCTCTTTCCTAATTCCACTCCATCATCAATGGTTGCCAATGAACCGAAATAGGTTAAAATTTTAAATGTGAAGTCTGCTGCACCTTATTTAGTAAACATCGGTATCACGTTGATACAATATGGCGGTATCAAAATGGCGCTGATTGTTTCACTTCCGCCGGAAGAGTCATTATCTGTCGCCGGTCATGCCCAGGTGAACTAACTCACATTGATTTTATTATATAAATAACTATTACCAAAATATATATGACAATTGGTTATAATTTTATGATCAAATCTTCTCCATGTGAGAAGAGGCTATGCTCAGTGGGTTCTGATAGGCTGATGATGATGATGATGATGATGATGATTATGAATTTATTTGATTTTATAATTACATTTGAAAAAAATAAGTTTTTATATTTTTTTTTACTTTTTATTTTTGACCCAACATATATATTTTAAATAATCTTGATATATGTTAATTTTAAGGTAGCGAAGATATGTATAGAGATACTTCTATAAATAAAATCATTTTATTTCACGGTCTGACGAAATGGCAAAAAACAAATATTATCAAGAGATTTTTTAGATTAATGAATGAGACGCTCGAATACGTTCAACTATTTCTGTATATTCAACATAATACATCGTTCTTATATTAAATAAGTATTTAAATATTATTATTAGTAAAGAAACTATAGTTTTTTTTAACACGCAGTATTAGATGCTAATGACAGTTACTTTTCTTTTTAATAAAACCTCCTTTCAAGTCTATTTCTTGCTTTAGTTTTTATTATTGACAATTAAATAGTTAATGATCATTTTTGAAATGAAAAAGTTGATATAACGAGATCTAAGATTTTCGCGAGTTTAATTCATTTAAATGAAATTAATATTATTGACATATACTACGCGATTTTATGTGATACACACTCGTTTTAGTAATCACGGTTGCTGTAAAGTAGCCGAAACGTCGGGAGTATGTAGTTTTTTACAAAAATCAACAGCGTAGTATATCCGGATAATATTAGTTTCATTTAAAGTTGATATATAGCACATGTATAATACTCTCTTTACTCAGATTTAGTATCGACACGCTACATAAACATAAACAGTTTTTATAAATCTTCTTACATATAGTATTAACGTATGTTATTGAATGAAAAAACGGGAGACTTGATCGTGTGTAGTGACGATGTAAAACCTAGATGAGCATACTGTTTTGTCATAATTATAATAGATATTAAAAGAAGAATGAATAATAAGAACTTTTGCTTATATTTTCTTAATAAAAGATCACTAATCAATATCAATATTAGACTATTTTTTATAAAATATTGACGCATTTTCCAATATTTCTTTAGTTCTATCTAGAATGAAAATTATTTTATAATTTAACTTAGTCAATCTAGCTATATATAATAAATATATAAATTGAACGTTTCAAAACTGGTACATCAGATTTAATTAAAAGAATCTCGAAATTTCTAAAATATAAAAAGTTAGAATACAATAAATACGCGGGAAATCCGGGACAAGGTTTGTAAATATTGACCTCGTGAGTGTCAATGTCGCCATTAAATTATCTGCTATCGTAAATAGAACTAGAATAAATAAACTAATTATTATAATAGTTTCGTTATGAGAAAATTTAATTTTATACTTTAATATATGTAAGTATTATATGTAAATAATGTTCTCTTCTTCCTGTCAATTTTCCCAGCTTTAGCCAGGGTCTGCCTTACATGTTGTGAATAGTTTTGGCTAATTGTTTTTTTACGACCGGCCGACAGCCTGACATCAACCCTCTTTGGGAATGCATTAATCAGTGATGTATAAATGCTCTTAGAAAGTACCTATGACTCGGAAAAATCACATTGGTGCTTGCCAGGGCCAGGATCGAACCCGCGCCCTCGTGCATGTGTGGCGGGCCTTTTAACCACTAGGCCACCACTGACTTATATATGTAGTAAATATATAATATAGTAAATAATTTTAAATCATAATAATATATGTTTTTTTGTAATTAACTATAATAAAACATCTGATGGTCACAATTACCGGTAAAGTACGTAATAATGTTTTGACGCATTGTCATGTAGAAGGACGACAACTGATGTGTGACGCTTGATTGTTGAAGTTTTGTACAAAAAAAACATTATTTATTCACAAAAACACAATGAGAATGGTTAAAAATTATATTTTTGTTAATACCTCGGTTTTAAGACGTTAATATTGCAGATAACGTTCCGACAGCGACTAATTTCCGAACGTAAATACAGTTTTTTAAAAGTTTAGTTAAATTTCGTTTATCAACACCGGTAGCGATAAACATTCAAATTTTTAACAAATTACACAATGTCTTCACGCTTCATAGATTTTTGGACTGTTTTTAAAACGTTTTGTTTCAATGTCTAGAACTGATAAATAATTAAAATATAAAGGTTTAAATGAAAAACTAAATAGAACAAAATAATTTTTAAATGCAAGTATTTCTTTAACTTTTGTAGAAAGCCGAAGAATCTTTTATAACTGATTACCTCAAAATACGAGTTTTAAGAGTTATTTCATAAGAACGTGTAAAAGAACTAAAAAAATAAAGATAATATTTTAAAAAAGGTTTCGACATTATTTTTCACTATTCATAAAAATCAAAAGATAAATAATACTTTAAATTAAATATATCTAAAACAATGGTGCGAAATTATAATAGAATTGAATTTTATTAATTACAATTTTAAATTTCAAAATTAATACAAAAAATATTATAAAATTTCAATTTAGTTTACAAACTAATTACATAGTTCTATTTCGAACTGCATTATCTAACAAAAAATAGATGTTTTTTCGTTTAATATTATCATCATAATAATGTCCTTAAAATATCTTTTAAATTATTTAGTTCATATCTTACCTGAATAAGTAATTTTTCCATAGTAATCACAAACAATGCAAGTGTATTGTTTTCTAATTCCATTCCACCGTACAGTCCGCAACAAAGCGCGGGAAACGAGTGTTACCGTCTGACTGACGATTTAACCACCACCACGTCCACTGTATTATGCATTATAACTTAATTTTATATTCACAATTATATCTTCTATCTGTCAAAACGAAATTATATGTTAAAATAGATATTTTTTACATTTCTTTTAGTTGTATTTATGTCAAGAAAAAAACGTTAATGATAATAAATTCTTGTTGTTTTCATCGTGTTAGGATTTATGGCAGACAGCCGTCGACACCTCCAAATAGTTCGCTTATCGACCTAAAACATTTTATCAACAAACTTTAGCCCGGAATGAGAAACATTCGTTCAAATTAAAAAGTTATTAAGGACGCTCTACTTACAGCTACAGTGTGTTCCTTACGTCAGATTCATTTTAACATAGAGGATGAGTTATATCAAAATAATAATAATAAATAAAATATTTTAAGTAACTTACTTCTGCTTATAACAGGATTGAAAAGAGGAAAAGTTTTAAACTTAAGTATTCATAATACTCATCGTAAATTAATTTGAAAACTTGTCACAACATCTCTTTCAAGGTTTTTGGTAATTATTTAATTTGACATACTTTTAAAATATTACATTATCAGGCAGAATCTAGACAGGTATCCGCTAATTACTCATGAACAAAGCACTTACTTGGTCACTCTATGCTTAGTCCAAGATTCCATAATCACCACATACGTACCGTTTCCCGTTTTTTCTTCAATAACATACATTGATTTAATTCTAAAATGTGCGAAAATGTATGAATAAAAATATTTTCTCAAGTAGTTCAATTTTAACAACAGACACAAACAAATCACATTTCATTATCAATGTAAAATTACTTCTGTACCTATATAATATTATATAATATCATTTAGTTTACTAAATTGAAAACTAGAATATTTAAGGGCAATCAGCACTCGTTGAACAGTATTTCTATCATGAAAGCGGAACCGCTGCCATTTTGTAATTATGTCGCTTAAATAATGTTATTACGTATTAGGATATAATTTAACATTCGTATAATATAAAGGAAAGTAAAACACGAACCGAGAAAAAATACACTGAAACTGAGTGATAACTCGGTCCTTTTATAAAAATATATTTTTATAAATTGTAACAATCATGTCACATCCGAGACAATACAAAATTCCCAACTGGTTCCTCAACAGACAGAAGGATATTGTTGATGGCAAGTACAGCCAATTGACATCATCCAACTTGGACTCCAAGCTTCGTGAGGATTTGGAGAGGTTGAAGAAGATTAGAGCTCACAAAGGCATGCGTCACTACTGGGGTCTCCGAGTGCGTGGTCAACACACCAAGACGACCGGCAGACGTTGTAGAACCGTCGGTGTGTCCAAGAAGAGGTAAATAAATAAATAACTAGCAATATATAGAAGCAAATGGTATCTTATACTCAAAGCAAGGTAGAATACAATCATCAATACACGTAGTAATATTAATCATCATCGTCATCAGCCTTGGTGATCTTCTATTGCATCTAAGCCTCTCCGAGTCTTTTCCATGACGTGACATGAGATTCATTCTGGACCTAACGAAATTTTATCATACTGATCAGTCTGTCAATGCATTTAGTAATCCACAACCTTCACTCTTTTAAAACTTGTGTCCAGTCCTACAGTTTAAGTTGATAACTCTTAGACTATACACGTACTTTGTATTGTATTAATAAACTTAAATTATAAACAATACAAAATCCCCGAGGATATTTGTGCTTCGGCCTCCAGACCAGACATATTTATGTATTCGCGAATTTTCATCACAACAATTACGAGCTCATTCGTCGTGGATTCGTACGTGGTAGAAGTGGAAGCAAGAGGTGTTACAACTAAATCTCTGTACAACCTACTAAAACACTTGAGCTTGTCTAGAATTCACATTAATTCATTCTTGGAATGTACCGTGAAGGCAGCCCTAGTACGTTCTTTTCAAATTTGGTTAGGTAGAGAGGAGCTTGGATAGTGGCGGTGAGCGTTTAATGCGCGTTAGATAAGGGCCCCTTAAACCTACACCTGGGTCACAAGACCCAGGCACTGTTGAAGCTCCTCTCCCTGTAATGCGATGGGCCCGACACCCGCACGGTGAATCCATTGGATGCTAAGAGGTTTCGTCTCATAATATACTGCTATTCTGCTTAAAAAAACAAACGTGAATCAAGTATTTAAAGAGTATTATTGTGTCCATTACATAAATTATTTTCATTCGGTGTTTGAACCGCACTTATTCAATGATTAGAGTTCTTATCTACAATCAACGGTTGCGTGCGAGACAGCAATCAGACGAATAAATTAAAACTTGGACGATCACAACTGCTTTATGTGTTTAGAACGTTTTACTAATACCATCACTAGGAATGAATAGTCTCATGTTGTTGGTGGTTTCGTATATTTATAATATATTTAAAAAAATTACATTCTAACAAAAAAAAATTAATACAAGACTCAAAAATCTACATTATGTATACTTTTATGGTCTTATTATAAGATCTTGAGTTCGTCAAACGTTAAAACTTAATATTTGAGTGTAGTTATGAATGCTAATGATACTTTAGACAATGTTAATTGTTATTAAAATATGTATTATAATAAATAATAGATATGTATCTTCATCTTGTGTTTGTGCGGCTACAGGCTCGACTATTAGTAACTAACCTAGGCGTTTTCAAAGTCTAATAGTTTTTTAAATAATTCTCCATTTTATATTTGAAAAAATAACTTTACTAATATTGTGACAATAGATTTGTTACTGTGTAATTAATAAATATCAAATTGTTGCCTTTGACCAATATATATTTTTATATTTTCTGATTCTGCTTTAGCGTGTATAGAATACCTTTATTTATTTCAGATCCAGAACATTATCTAATACTAAAAAGTAACTTTAATTATCAAGAAAATTTAATAAGGAAATTAAAGTAAAATCTTTTAACACATTCAGAATCTAAATAATAATGAACGTGAATATTTAAATGGTGTTAATTAAGTTAGAAAAAAAGGTTCTTTATTACTACTACAGCCTTTTTTGTACTTATTATTTTAGTTGAAATTCTTGCAAAAAAATACTACTCATTGTACATCCGCCTTGCATACGTTCGGCGCGTTTTTCTTATAACAAAAAAAAGGTTTCTATTTTTATGATAGGTACAGGAGATTCTAGTAAAGATCTTTGGAAATAAATAATATTAAACTGCCTAATTAATAAATTTTTATCTAGAGCCACGTAGTAATCACGCTAACTTTTTAAGGATAGACCATCAATCATCTAAGGATATTTATAGGAGAAGGGCCTGTAGCTGTGGTCAGTCACTTCATCTCGAACATGGGGTGGCTCGACCGATGAAGTACCACCCTCTCACAGAAGATCGGCGTGAAGTAGCCTTTACTGGCTGCGTTTCGTCCGATGAATGAGGGAGTCGGTTGCCCTTTTCCTATTTCCACCCTTCTCTACCCGTTCTTTTCCATCCCTTTCTTTTCCCTTTTTCTTTTTCTTTTCTTTTCCCTTTCTTTTCCCTCTCCTACAATCAAGGTTGACAACACATTTGTAACATCCCTTATGCACTTATTGCAGATGTCTATGGACGATAGTGAATACTTTCCATCAAGTAGGTAGTCTACTCGTTTGTCAACTTGGATAAATAAAAAAATCAAACATGTAACGCGGATTTAAATAGAAGATCTAAAGTATTGGACGATTTCATCAAAAAATTTACATCCATACTACATATGTACATACTAAGATATATACAACGAAAGGTCATCAGTCAATATGAGAATTATTTTTTGTATCCTACAGACATGAAGAAATTGTCCGTTTAGTATTTGTCAAATATCTAAATCTCAACGTATGAATTAAGTTGCAAATAGTCAACAGTTTTCTTGCTTTTGTTATTAATAAAAACATCTGGAGTTATTAGAATAGCGTCTTAAAGTTATAAATATACTGAGAAAAGAAATCAACCGGTAGTTTTTTACTTTTCAAGCTAAAGTTTTTAGTTTTTTTTTTACAAATTATTTGTCATTTGATAGAACCATAATTATAAATTAAGTTAATAATAAAATATTAAACATGGCAAGATTTTTTCAATAAATTCAATGTTGTGCATCAATTGACTCTTGATAATATTATTTAGTAATAATTTCTAACTCCATGTATAATCTTTATCACTGGAACTATCTTGACGGTAGACATTGATATTATTGGGAATGTATACTTCTATATAAATCTTTTATCTCCCAACACAATAACGTTAAAAATCTACCAATTTCTTACACTTTTTCTTATGACGTCATGATCCCAAGTGTAAAGAACTATCGCTGTCAACTTCAATACTTATAGTGAACACATGTAGTAAAGAGGACGATCCATATTTACTGCCACAACTCCATATTAAAGGCGATGAGACCTTGTCTAGAAAGTATGCAAGTTTCTCCGACCATAGAACTAACTTGGAGTTGAAAAAACAATATCCAAAAGAAAAATAATATAAATCTATGGTAATACTAAACTATCTACAATACCAGTATTACCAGTTAAATGTCATAATTATATTTCATCAGTAAATGTTGAAACTATAGTCAGCTTTAATAATACTTACGTTATAATGTAATCATTGCACGAATATTATTATATACGATACTGTCGTTTATAAAATTTAACGAAAGAAAAGAATTTCTAAAAATATTTGTATTATGACAAGGGGAGGTTGGGAGGGGGTAAAATATAAAAGTCATGATATCAACTGTAATATATTGTATGTACACTATTCCCAGCGGCTTTTTTTGCCGCTCTTGCGTATTCTTTCTGTTTTATCTGTGTTTGTGTTCGCGGGCGCGTTCACACCGGGCTGAAGCACGGGCCGGGTTTGTTCCCACGAGTGATCTGACGACGCTGTGAACTGGAATTAAACAGCAATATAATAACATAAGAATATATTATTATCATTATCATCATCAGTCTATCAGAGCCCACTGCTGTGCAAACCTCTTCTCACATGGAGAAGGTTTGAGCATTAATCACCACACTTGTTCAAGACGGGTTGGTGATTTCAACCTTATAATGTGAAATTATAAGTTTAGTTTTCCTCATGATATTTTCCTTCATCTGTCAGTGGTGTCTAAATGCTCTTGGAACTTACATATGACTCGGAAAAGATCATATTGGTAGGTACTTGCCAGGTTTCGAACCCGTTCCCCCATGCATGAGAATCGGGCATTTAACCTCTAGGCCACCACGACCTTTATTAATCCTACTAATATTATAATTGCGAAAGTTTATGAGTGTGTGTGTATGTTTGTTACTTCTTCACGCTCAAACGGCTGAACCGATTTTGATAAAATTTTGTATAAAGGAAGCTGACGTCCAGGAGTAACACATGGGTTACTTTACATCCCGGAAATCTCGGAAATCCGCGGATAACACCGCGGGGCGCAGCTAGTTAATTAATATATAGAAAAGAATCAGTATGGACTGGTCTAATATATTAATTTTACTGTGTAATGCTTGTATATAGCTGCTGGTAGTATATTATATGTAAGTGACCTGGTTGTACTGTGAGCGGAAGGCTTGTTTGAGTGACGCCAGTCTATCAGTGGCGGGGCCGCCTGTCTTCTCAACCGTCTTCTCCACAGTCGCTGTTAGAGACACGTCGTCGTTGTATGTGGGAAGACCGGGACGCTCTTTGTAACTGAAACAATACGTGATACTATGTTACTTATATTAAATATTATGTATCATTTCTTTTTGTATTTCTTTCTTTGTTCCAGAATCTATTTTTAACTGATAATATGGCTTTGCTTTCCATGTAATCCTTGGATATCTCATGAACTTCTTGCTCAGTAGTGAGCTGAAACTATGATTATCTGAAGAGTATAAAGTCATTGTCTGTCAACTTCGACGTTATAAGACATACATAATGCTCTATTACGAAACTCTTCCATCAGAAGTATTATTTCACGAATTATGTATTAGAAGAATTATATCCATATATATATGATTGATTATGTATTATATAGATAATATTCAGATTATATACATTATATCTGATTGTTTCAGATTAATTTGTACATGCGTATTATGTTTTATACAGCCCTCGATAAGAAACATATTGTGGGAATAAGTAGAAGAGAATAAGATTGAGTGCATCTGAAAATAAAATATTTTTGGGACAGGAGTCTCAATGAGGAAGATGAAACATTTGGATGACTTCCTCAAAGGATACGAGTTTATGGGTGCACCACAATCAGGGTGGCTTAGAAATTCCAAGATATTATTCTTAATTTCATCAAAATTATGGGGAATCTGATATCAAAATGAGGATTCGGGTTTATTAAGAGTTATTTAGACAAAAGGTCCAAATTACTCTTAAAGTACTGGATTACACTAAAAAAGAAAAGCAATATGTGACATCAACCTTACAGCCTTCACTACAGAATTAGAAGAATAAAGTTCTCATCTACAGTTCAGAACACTTCCATACAAATTTATTTCATCTCCATACAATTTAGGGCACGGCCTATCTATGAAATTCCCTTAATAACAGATTCTCTAAGGTCCTCTCTTAATAGGTCTTCCGAGCCAGTTAGTATGTATTGTCCATATAACGTGAGCCTTTACCCGAGCCCGCAGCCTCCCACGTTGAGGTTCTTGCCCTTGCCCTTCTTGAATCTTGACTTTCTGAACCACGCTGACTGCATCGCTAGCTGCATTAATTCCTCCGGCACCTCCTGATATGTGGAGAATACATAATATATTAGAAACATACTATACATATTAAATATGACAATTAGAGAATTAAAATAAACTAGTATTGTTCCGAAAGTAACATAGCTGAAGTCATAAATAATAAACGAAGATATATAAGAACAATTAATCGACCATATAAATAGAATGTAAACTGTTGGCTTATATCTTAGAATGTGCAGTTTTCTTATTATTTTTCTCTATGACTTAGATCAGGACAAATAAAAATACCAATTACATACATATCTGTCAAATTCTGGATCAAAACAGCATCATGATGTAATGAGATCTAAGTATTATTGTACACAGCCCGAAATCATAGCAAAAACCTATCTCTAAGTCAGTTTAATCCATTGCATGTCTTTGATATCTATCTGCATGTCTGATCTCTGTTCCAGCTAACCTGCTGAACTCCCTCCAGGTTCCTCAGCAGATGTCCCGCGAAGTCCTTGTCCCTGTCCCGTGACAGCAGCGTGTGCGCGGTCCCCGGGACGCCGGCCCGTCCCGTCCGCCCCACTCTGTGTGTATGTGTGTCTATGTCACGCGCCACTGTGTAGTTCACCACTGTACGGATGTGTGGGATGTCCAAACCACGAGCTGAGAATAGACATACATATTAATAATTATATTAGTCCTACTATTTCTTTATCTATTGAAACTTCTACTTTTTTCTTTACATGTAAAAAAAATTTACATTATGCTGGTTAACTTTTACTCTAATATAGTTGAATTTAACTCTTTTGAGAAGCAACTATAAACTCTTTACGACACATTTTCATTTCAGCATGTCGTTACTTGGATTAACAGGTAACAAACTCAAAATACTCCAATCGATAGCTACCTAAACAAACCAGAAATAATCGACGTATTTTAATAAAATTTGTCAAAAATATAGAATATATTCCTAGAATGAAACGGTTCTCAATGATGTCCATACATCTACGTACAATACCAGTATATCATTCCATCACTAAGTCAGTATCATTACCCGCTACATCAGTGGCCACTAGTATGTTGGTCTCCTGCCTCTTGAAGGCGGTGATGACCTTGTTCCGGTCGGCCTGCTCCATGTCTCCGTGCAGCAGCAGCGCGTCGTACTGCTGCACGCCCAGGTTGGCTGCCGTCTGTTCCGCTTCCAACTGAACAACATACATTCAGTATTATATATTATACATTCAGGGGGGGCAATGGGGCGACGGCCCAGGGCCCCAAATTTGGGGGGGCGATTAGTGGAGGTAGGATACATAACTTTCTACGTCCACGCCGTTAGCTCTGGGTCACGCTAAAGGAAAGATGGATGATGGTAGATGGAATATAGAATTTTTAATACACGTTCAGTGTTCACATTGGTTCAGAAAAAAAATACTGTATTTGGATTTCTTCAAGTGGGCGCCAAAATATTCTTGCCCAGGGTGTCAGTCCCTCTAACGCGGGCACTGTATACATTTATAGAGGACCATGTTGACGGTAGTAATATCATTAAATCTTTAGCTCAATGTTAAAAATATTTGTTGAACATTCTGGTATATGAGGATTAACATTTGTAATTCTGTAATTATGTTTTTAACTTGTTGAGCTTATTGACAAATAATTAACTTCGGTATAATCAAACCGAACTTCAGATAGCTTTGAATGCTTATCGTGTCGATGAATTTAGTTTCAGATTTTATTTCAAATTGATTTATAATAAAGTTTGCCAAGAGACGTATACAAGTGGGATTACCTTCTTCGTAACAAATATTAACACGCTCCCCGACGAAAGGAAATCGACTAAATTCTCCAACAGCCAGGGCCACTTCTCCTCCGGTTTATTGAAGATACTGAAACAGGAAAGATGAACTAAGATTGAGTTATCCCTATTAATACTACTGGGGTATAATGTTGGACCATTGGACGAACTTTAGAAGGATATTTATTATCTAAGGCAGGGGTATCCAAACTTGATGGGACCTAGGGTTAATAAAAATAACTAAATACATTGATGGGCCGCGAGATATAGAAATACTAATAATAATATCGTTATTATTACCAGTATTTGCTCATTAATGTAATTAAATCAAGATAAAAAAGATTTTACGGCCACGGCTTGGACAGCCCTGATCTAAGGAATCTCTATTGATACTACTTCTACCTGGCAATTTTCCAGCTTTAACCAGGATTTGCCTTACATGTTGTGAATAGTTTTGGCTAATTGTTTTACGACCGGCCGCCTGCCTGACATCAACCCTCTTTCGGGAATCAGCATTAATCAGTGATGTCTAAATAATCTTAGAAAGTACATATGATTCCGAAAAATCAGATTGGTACTTGCTCGGGCTAGGATCGAACCCAAGCCCTCGACAACGAGAGGCGGGCTCTTTAGCCACTAGGCCATCACTGACGATTATTGAATCTCTATTGATACTATTGGTCTATATGGACCATTAGACATGTAATCTCACGTGACTCGTTGTTTGACCAGCTTGGAGGCTTCTCCAGCGGCGCCATGTTGTACCCGCACGGGGTCGTGCAGAGCGTCTCTCGCGAGGCGCTCCACACGACGAGGGAAGGTCGCCGAGAACAACAGGGCTTGGCGCTCCGGGCGGACGTGACTACAGATGGAACGGACCTGCGGCTCTGGAGATACGAATACATATACAGAAACATGTATTAATAGTATAGAGATACTGTATGTGGTACACACGTATAGGCAAACGTGTATATAGTGCATCCGTGAAGATTCTGTTAATCGTCTTAATAATAATTGATTACAATTTATTACTGCTACAAAACAAAATTTTCGTTTCTTTAGTTGAACTGGATTAAAAAAAATAGTGGCATGTATTTTTTGAGAACGAAGGAAATGAAGGTTTCTATTTAATACACAGATATAGCGTATGTATGAAAAAAATATCGTTAGTAAAAAATAGAAATATAAAATCATATCACCAGTAGTTGCTTTGTCAGTTACTTTTCATTTGACTCTATAATATATTACACGTGATAGATGAACGAAAAATTTAAAGCCATGGTTCAAAGTTTGATGGTAGAAATATGTACATATATAAGTATCTAGTAAGTTATAACATAACGAACCAAACCCCATGTCGAACATCCGATCAGCTTCATCCAATACGAGGTACGTGACGCGCTGTAGGTTGGTAGCCTTACACTTCACCAAGTCGATGACGCGCCCTGGAGTACCCACCACTATCTCCGCGCCACCTACAAACAAACATACATAAATAATATCACAAAACACAGATAGTGACAACTAATATAATAATAATAATAATAGTTTATTTCTCGAATATGGGTTAACAAAGGTATTTCATACATTTACAGTGGTCCAACATATTCTGCCAAATTGGCGTGCAAATATTTTTTAATAAACTAATAATACTACTAATGAATTTACTACAATTACAAATATAAATTTTATAGTTTAAAATTTTAATAAATAATTTTCAATATCATCATTATAAATATTTATTACATTATTTGGAAACCTCTCAGCATTCAATTTATTCACCATGTTAGTACCAGGTTCATCATTGTAGGGAGAGGAGCTTCAACAGTGCCTGGGACTTGCGACCCAGGTATAGGTTTATGGGCCCTTATCTAAATTTAATTATTACTAATATAAGTATTTATTTCAAACATTTATTCCGTACCTTCCAAAGCCTTGCTCTGCTCCCATTTAGATCCACCTCCGTAACAACAAACACATCTGATGTTGTACACTTTGCCAAACTTCTTAGCCTCCATGTATATCTAGCAAAAAGAAAAATATATATAAATACACCACAGACAGGGCAGAACTCAAATATTACTGATTTAATATATAGGTAATGTACTTAAAATTATATACATTTTCATCAACACAATTTAATACTGCATTATAATTATTTAACAAGTTTTTTAGTTATACTACGCGTTTTATAAACACTACATACTCTTTTAAAAATACATTATAGTTTTTAAAATAATAAAAAAACTCATAATGTAGCCAAAAATCTTACTTTTTATTTACATGAATACACACAAATATCTTAGATTATTATCATTATTAAAATTTAGACTAGTATTCTTTTAATATATTTTCTAAGAATATTTTATAATGATTTTTAGTACATACTTGTTGTGCCAACTCCCTAGTAGGAGCTAGTATGAGTCCTATGGGCCCGTCCCCCGGAGCCAGCTCTCTCTGGTCCATGATGTGGACCAGCAGCGGCCAGAGGAAGGCTGCTGTTTTACCAGAACCAGTGCGGGCAATACCTAGCGTTCAGAGAAAATAAGTCAATACATATTATAGGTAGTAACAAAAACACTATTAGACCCAAATGTTATTTAGATTCATGAAGTTATAAGGGATTTTTGATTTCTAAAAAGAAAATTCTTTAGAAGACTCAGTAGATTGTATCTTGCTATGCCGAACGCAAAAATACTTTACATAGATACGCTCTATTGTACGCTTTTTTTCCACTAAAAATAAGGATTATTTATTCTGGTAAAATTTGAAATTATTGATTGATTCAAAACTATAATGACCATAGAATACATAAATTACAATTAAAATCTACAAATTGTATTATTATGGAGTAAATTAAAATGATGGCGTGAATATAAGTTTATATCACCTATGAGATCTCTTCCTGATAGAGCCGCAGGTATTCCCGCCGCCTGGACCGGTGTTGGCTGAGTGTACTCCGACTTACGGATAGCCTTCATCAGCTGTTCATCAAAACCCAAATGAGCGAAACTACTCACGGGTTTTGGAGGATCTGGTCCGGAAATCTGGAGACAATGACATATAATTGAAATTGAATAAAAACTTTTTCGTACTTTTTTACGTGGTGTTGTATAAAGTATTAGTATTCAATAAGTATTACGAGCTCACTAGGAACAGTATACATCTGGTCTGCCCGTGATCTCGGTAGCTAAAATGTGACTGAAACGTCGGGAGTATGTAGTTTTATAAAATACACGTAGCAATCCGAACAATATTAGTTTCATTTAAATGAATACTCACGAATGTCTTAGATCTCATCACTAGGAATAGGTTCTGCGTGGATTTGTTCGTGATAGAAGTGAGAGCGAAAGGTATAACGCCTAAATCTTCTTACAATCTACTAATAGACTATAGCCTGTCCAGAACTAACATCAATTCATTCTTAAAACGTACTTCGTAGACAGTCCTAGTAGGTTCGTTTCAAATTTGGTCAGGTAGAGAGAGGAGCTTGGAAAGTGGAGGTGAGCGTTTAACGTGCGTTAGAATTTGGTCCCTTAAACCTACACTTGGGTCGCAAGTCCCAGGCACTGTTGAGACTCCTCTCCCTGTAACGATGGACCTGACACCCGTACCGTGAATCCATCGAATACTAAGAAGTTTCGCCATAAAAGTTCTTCTTCTTCTACCTGGCAATTTCCCAGATTTAGCCAGGGTCTGACTCACTTGCTGTGAATAGGTTTGGCTAATTGTTTTTACGATGGGGAGCCTGCCTGACATCAATTCTCTTGGGGAATGCAATAATCAGTGACGTCTAAATACTCTTAGAAAGTACATATGACTCAGAAAAATCACATTGTTACTTGCCAGGGCCAGGATCGCACCCGCACCCTCGTGCATTTGAGGCGGGCCTTTTAACCACTAGACCACCACTGACTTAAATATAAATATATATTTCGCCATAAATGTATTATTATTTAAACTCACCTTGACCCCCAAATTTTTCTTCAATTCTTCCACCTGATGCTGCTCTAGTTTCTCTATATCTTCGTGTGGTGTATAGAAGTTCTTTTCAAATGGTTCATACTGAATCTCTGAATGGTCTATTGGTGGTAGGGGGTCTATAAACTTTTTCTTGGGAGGAGCGATTGGATTTCCATCCTCATCATACTCTATTTCAACATCTGAACCATCATCGGCTGTTTGAAGTGGATTTTCTTCCATGTATCTAAAAGTGATAAATAATTTTAATGAGAAACTATTGAAAATGATAGACTAATGTGTCTGTCTACTTGTTATGTATTAGTTATACTTAGTTAGAATAATAACATGATGTCAAGTGTAATATAGGTAAATTACTTTATTATAATACTCACACTCATTCTGTTTGCTACATAACACAATACATATATGACAAGTTTAATATAAATTTATTGAATATTACACTACTTCCATCAAATATGAAGACTACTCACTTATAGTAACTTTCCTCATCATCCATTTCATCAATATCTCCCCTCGTCCCTCTGCCTGCATCACCTTTTCCACTCACAGCATTTTCTTTGCTAACCTTCATATCTTTAGCCGCCTGTTGCTCCAGACCAGCCATGTACGCATCTAAGGGATCCTCCTCTTCTTCATCTGCCTAACAGCATATTTAAAATAGTAGTACTATTGTATTAAAAATATACAATATATTAAATAGTCATAGTTGAGCATCATGAATATAACTAACATTCTATATGTACTAAAAAAGATTGTTATAGAATAACAACTACATATGTAGGTGTGAACACAGATCAAAATTATGAAAATATATTTACATTGTTTAACAGTTTAAATTTCAGTTATAGGTCTTTAACACATCATTAAAGTAAATAACTAATACAAGTAAAATGTTAAATAAAATTATTGATTTTTTTTACTGAGCTCAGAATATGCTAATTAGAATAAATAGCATAAATCTTTTTTAACTACATATTACAATATTTAATATTATTTATGAAACTCATGTGTGGCTGTATAATTGCAGTTATTTTTTTATCTTATTAATAACTAAAAGAAGCATCATGTTTCTTCTACTTTAAAACTTTTATGATAATTCTAAAAGGTTTGATACCTTCAAATTATTGTTTTTGGATAACCCAACAGAATGGAAGATAGAAAGAAATATTAAAAAAAAATTTCTAACATGAAGGGTTCCAAAACCCAGACAAATATTCTTAAGGTTACAGGCCAATATATTATGATGTAAATACTATAACCAATGTCCTGGCAAATATTTTTTTTACTCATTGGGGTAATTTGTTTAACCATGACCTTTTCCTTACAGCCCATTGAGCACATATGGTTAATAGTGCACTAAGACTTTATTTTTGTATAATTATAGGATATTTTGTTTGAAATCTCTTTTAAATATGATATTTTACCCTAGAGCTGTTGGCTTCATTAGTGGGGCTCCCTGGTGCCGGTATGTAAGCTAGAGCTGGGGTTGGTGGCTCATCATCTTCATCAAAATACCTTCAAACAAACATGATAACTTTGTTTGGTTATATTTCTCATTACTATGAATACAAAATGAGCTTTATGCTAATGATACTCACTCATCTTCAGTCTTAGCTCGCTTTTTTCCAAGTGTGCCCCAATTACCACCGATGGCGTTCTGTGTTATCGCATTCATAGTGGAATAACCCTGCTTCGATAAGCCAGGATTCGGAGGTGGGACAGCATTCATTTGGGAAGGAGGCGGAGGAACAGCGTGCAGTGAAACGTTCGATGGGTTCCGTTTTGGCATCGTGAAGCCGGAAAACCCGAACCCCTTGCCCCCACTCGAATTGTAACTCATGTTGATGTTATAGATTCAAGCACTTAAACATACATTACACATTAGTGTCTTTATGTTACCACGTATATGGTCTCATTAGTTTTATATTATTGGTAGAGTTTAAGATTGTGTACATAATAAGACATATTAGTAGAGAACAACACTTAAATATAAAGATAATTTTTCGTCGATTTGTTCAGCATTCAGGATTCAGGAAACTAAAATGTCAAACATGCATAAATGTCAACTTAAGTCTTGACGAATTACCCGTTTAAAAAATATATTGAAAATTAAATAAAACAACAAATAAATTATTTTCATAAATTTAAGAAAATTTCTTTTTTATCTTATGAATTCATTTGTTAAGAAACTTAATTAAAATTATTGATTAAACCTGTTAACTAACAATTATTACGTATATAGTAAGTAGTAACATGTTAAGACCACAGGAACAACAAATTGTACATAAACCACAGATATATGCAGATATTATGATTTTGACATTTAATTTAAACTTGACATAAATTTTTCATACTGTACTATCAACAATTGTCATCGTTATCTACTACTTGTTATTCGGTGTTGAAACACAAAAATCAAAACGCAAAATGTTCTTCAAAGTATTCATGTTGATATTTTCTATCTTAGCAATAAGTAATGTTGAAGCAGCGCACAGCTATGACTTTGGAGACTTCCTAGCCACAGTTTTAGGAGTCGGTATATCCGTTATTGGTATTCTTGCGTGTTTAGGCAATTACGCCAGACAGAAAGCAAGAAACGAGTTTATTTAAATTATATTCAGCGTAAGTAATATCAGATTATAATTATTATGTAATATTCCGTTTGATAAACTTGTTGATATTCTTGCTAAACAAGTTTGAATAAAATATTACCACATTTTTATGTTTATAAAACTTAACATTGTATTTATTTCCAGGTATCATAGGATCAGAATATATTATTACGAGTTAATTTCTAATATGTAAAATATGTTTGTCTAATCAACAAGAACATACAACAAATTAATTATTATTTTATATTTCTTATCTATCATATCTATCTAAGTTAAGCTGAAAAAATGTTACTAAAATTTTTTTCATCCTTTTGACAAAATGTAGAAATTTTCTTTTATATATAAAAAAAGTGTTTTTTGATTATTATATTTGTGAAATATGGTGTTATGTATGGTACTTTTGTGAGGCAATAAATGTGTATATATTCAAGATTTGTATCATTAAAATTTTATATAATATTTTTCTTTTTTTATCAGAAGGTAATAGAGAGAGAGTCCAGAATATCAAAAAAGTTGTAATCATTGTAAATAAAATTTTATTTTTGAGAATACTTAAATCCTGAGCTGATATTTGTTGAGCTTTCAAATAAAAGAAAATGATTGCTTTATAATTTCTTAAAAAATAATATATGTTGGCTCAATTCATCCACAATTTTCCTCTAATAATTCTATTTCTTTGATTATTTCACTTTTCTTAGTAATTTTTTCTTTCTGTTCTTTGTCGGGATTTTTAAGGGAACCCGATTTGATTTTTTCCTCCAATGTTTCTATATCCCTGAGTTTCTTTTTTAAGTTCTTGAGTCTTTTAGCGGGGTCGGTGGTCGTACTCGGGGCTGTTTTGAAGCTGGGTTCTGTTATCTCGCAGGTTGTTAGTTTTGAAAGTTTCTCGGTGGCTTCATCTACACCTGAAATAGTTTTTATATAATAATGAGATCTAAGACTTTTGAGAGTATTTATTTAAATGAAACTAATATTTTCATATTGCAATGTATTACTCATTACTTTGCAGCAACCGAAAAATCGGGAGTATGTATTTTTTAAAATAATAAATTAACTTGTAGTATTCAAAAAATATTAGTTTCATTTTTTATATACAATAGAAATGATTGCTATTACTAACTTTAATAACGATCTAAATATGAAATATATTAATCTTATCAGATATAAAGTGACAAGACCTTTATATAGACATAGTTGACTTGGTAATAATACAAGTTATAACAACATGAGTAAGTTGAAACAAGTTTTATTATAGAGATAATATTTTCAAAGAGTTTAAAGTACCTGTCTTCTTTTTTTTCTTCTTCTTTTCAACATTAATGATCATGCCAGGTATTGGTTGTATGACGCCTTTTTTGGACTTTTTGGCTTCAGCGGCTATTTCTGGAGGAAGACCAACTGGGAGGCCTGTGCTCTGCCGAGCTTTGAATTGCTTGCCCTTACTCTCATACAGAGGTACTTCCTCTTGAGGCACATAACCATCTTTTATACGTCTAGGTTTTCTCCAAGTTCCATCGGGGCGCTGTGTAGCAGGTATAAATTTAGCCCCTAGAATATAGGACTCATTATGAATTATTAAAATAATAGCTAACATTATATATCGTGCGATTATAACCAATAATAGCAGGCTGTTTACATGTGTAAATAAACTTTCTCTAGATAACTAGAAGACAATTATTTATGAACGTCTTTTATTTACGCGCCAATTAACATGGCTGAACGTCCTATATACTTGGGTAACAAGAAAATGATCAATGAAAATATCTCTTGATTTTGATTATGCTTTAAGAAATTATGAAATAATATAAGAAATAAAACAACTCTTTATTAAAATCTTACCATCAGCGTCGTGTTGGTATGCAGTTGTCGCCATTATTTTTCATGAACGTTTTGCTGCCGCCACTTATTATTTCTACAGTTTTGCAATACACACTTTAACATATAAATTGTTTTAATCTGGCAGTGTTACTTTTGAACCTAATAATAGGATTTAGTTAAGTCCTAGACTCGCCAATCAAATGCCAATATTGACATATTCAAATTATCACGTCACTGTCAACAAAATATTTACAACCTTATGTGATCATAAATTATGTTTAACATATCAAATGTATTTTGTGATAAAATATTTCTAAGTTTCATTCTCTAATTATTATTTTACATGTTTAACTCATTGATATATTTCATTAAACCACTTTAGCGTTTTGAACCACTGTATAGCTTAAATATAGTCTGTAGTTTCATTAAAAATCAGAGATTTGTATTAGTAAAACAGCTTGCATTAAAATTCGTAGTTAGAAAACTGGATTTTATTGAAACTTTTCTCATGTGTTTAAATAATTACTAAATTGGAATACATTAGTATTGATAATTTTAAGATAAAGCCTAATGCTTAATTAAATTATAAACTCCCATGGTGGTTACACAAATCACACTGATAATTTTTCAGATTTTATTATTTATTGGTATTATATATCATTATGTTTATTAATAATAAAAAATTACTAGGCGTCATTAGGTCAAACAACATTACGCTGTATGATTTGCCTTTTTTTGTATTTCTATTTCATTTTCAATAAATCGGATAGTCATATGTAACTAGTGACATCTACAGTGTGAATCTGGTTTATTTAATCTCATCTAAATATATCTGACAATTGACAAACGGAAACTTATAACTTTTTGTAAATGTTTACAAGGATTTTATGCCTTCGCCTTCAATTGTTATTATTTGTTATTTAATATCGATATTTTTATCAAGTGTATAACTGTGACTTGACGTGCGACAAAATCTATCTTTTTTAATTTTGTATATTTTGGATTTTCTTTTAATACAGTTTTTTAATAATTTTCTAAAAAAATGCCGTTGTCTAAAAGGAGGAGGTTGTTTACACCTAAAAAACATAAATCAAAATCGAATATTAAAGAGAGAGATTCAATAGGTAAAGTGAATTATTGTTATATTATAATGTATTTTCAAAAGTATATTGTAAAAGTAAGAGAAACACGAAGTTATTAAAAGTTAAGATAAGAATATAAAATATTTTAAAAATTATTTGTGAATGATATTAAAAGTTAACATTTTAAAATTTATTATGATTACAGAAAATGAGGTTACAACAGCCCGAGGGCGCCTGAAGGGTGCTCTGATGGAAATGCTGGAACCAATGGCAGAAGATTCTGATGCTTCATCTGAATACACACCCATTAAGAGAGAAAGGTAATTTATACTCATATAATTATAAATAAATTATATTAATATTAAAAACACTGACTTGTGTTATCTATGTGACATATTCAGAAAAATAAGTCAAGAGAAATCAGAATCATCTTCAGATGAAGAGGAACAGGTTGCTTCAAGGAAGTCACCTCAAAGACAGTCGTATGTGCTTAAGTTGTTTGACAGAAGCGTAGACCTCTCACAGTTCAGCGAGGACTCTCCGCTTTATCCTATCTGCAGGGCATGGATTGCTAATCAACCGAAAGCCAATTATAAAGAATTTGGGTAAGTATTGGAACTTTAAAGATAGACAAAAATATGTCAATATATAGACAGATTTTCTTTATAAAACATATCTGAACATTGCTTGTTTTGACAAATAACTAATTAGTTTTCATATCTTTTAGGAAAAAAAATATTGAGCCGACAACACCTTCAGATGATAGTTTAGAATTACCAGGTCCAGAAGGGCCTCCTATATCCAAAATACCAGATTTAATACCGGAGCAGAAAGCCTGCAGTAAGGATAACATTAATTTGAACTATGTAAGTATTATACACAATATAAAATTCACCTTGTTCACATCAAAGTCACGTACAACACAAATACAAATCTAATTCAGAAATTGTAAGACCTTTCATGAACAGTTTTGACTTTGAATGCATAAATGTTTGTAAAAGTATTTCTTGCCAGTAATAACAACATTTCCCTCCATAACTTGGTCTTAAATGTTATTTTATTTATTATTTCCAAAAGAATGACAACAACCTTAATCAATAAAGTCTATACAGCAGATTTTTTTGTATTTCCGAGTGTTAAATTCTTCAGTATTAGTTAAACTTGCTCAGTCTTGATAAATAATATGATGTTAAGTATAATGTTAGTACATTATTATATTAAGTTCTGTCATTCAGTGTTGCTACTTAGCACAATACATACATTATGATTTGAACATAATTTTATTGGATATGACAATAATAAAATGTTTCAGAGGGAAGCCCCACCACCTAGTAAAGAACAGCTAATCAGATGGCACACGGCTCGCTGGGCGAATATACGCTCTGCCTGGCTCCAACGAGCACATGAAGCAGAATCTAGATATAGTGCAACCCAGGCTATACTCAATAAGATTAACATTAAGTGAGTATAACTTGCACCTTTATTAATAATTAATAAAGACCAATAAGTGATAATAATCTACTACAGTAGGACCTCGATTCTTCGGACTAATTGTTGTTGGTAGGCATCCGGATAATTGAAAGTCCGGATAATCCAATATATGAAGAAAAACGAGCTTTTTACATATCTATACTAATATTATAAAGCTGAAGAGTTTGTTTGTTTGAAAGCGCTAATCTCCGAAACTACTGGTAAGAATTGAATAATTCTTTTTGTGTTGGATAGTCCAGTTATCGAGGAAGGCTGTGGGCTATATAACATCGTTTTTATGGTACCTAATTTGGTCGAAATAATTTGGTTAAGTTGTATCCACATAATAATATTAATCTTTATTCAAATAAACAAATAAATATGTTGTCGATTAAGAGTACTTCATTGTGAATTAAAAAAAAAAATAGGTTTTATCCTGAAAATTCTACGGGAACTCGACCATTCCGAAAACCCCGCAAGAACGGGAACTATGTGGGAAAAACCAAAAGTCTGCCGGAAGTCACTATTCCACGCGGACGAAGTCGCGGCAAAAGCTAGTGTACATATGTAGTCTGTACCAGACAATGTAATGTTAGGTGTTTATTTAAAACAACAAATACATATGAACGAGAATCAACTAAAATCACGGACGACACGAGTGTCGTGGCGTTATGCAAGTTCTGACATGTTAATGTTAGAATAAACCCGTCGCGATTGGCAGTCCGGATAATCGCGAATTGTATTGAATATTGAAATGTATTAGTATTAACTATATTTATAAATTTGAAGTATAAATAATATAATTTCTTGTGTTAATGTTCATCATTGGTTTTTTTCTAGCTTTTGATTTTGAGTTTTAAACAGAGATACGGTTTTAGACATTTATAGGTTCTACCTAGTATATATTTCTTGTTAGTCATGATAATATTATTATATTGTCAATAATAGTGCATGGACATCAACTTTTATTATGAACCCAGTAGTTATATCAAAAAATCAGTTATCTATTTAGGGGCCAAATTTCATTTTGTTTCCATTGTTATAAAATCATTTCTTTTATTTCAGTGCTATGTGATCATCTCTTCAAGAACGATTTTTTCTTACTATTTATGAGCCTTATTTGATATGATTTTCTATTACCAATCATTGTGATCAAATTCTATGGGATTTGTTGAAGAAAAATGTGATTATTATGATTTTAATCTTTAATAAACATATATTATTTATTTATGTTTTTTCTTCTTACTTTCTCCCTTGTTTTGTGGACATTCCGATTTCTTGTGGCCTTTTTCATTGCAAGTATAACAGGACTGTAAAAAATAAGCAACAATATATTAGAATAGAATTTTCACACATGGCAATATTATCAATACATTCCAAATATTCCTTACCTGTGATTCAACAAGAGTGCCACAAATATGTCCTTTTTCTTGGCAACACCGTTCACATTTTGCACAGTGTACAAATGTAGGCTTCACACACCTCTTACAAATGTTACAGTGTTTGTATGTCATGCCGTTCTTACTAGTGCATTCCCTGCATTTGGTGCAATGCCTATTAGCAACTGACACCCAGAATTTACACTTGTCACATAATTTATAGCCACTATCATTAGAGAGGTCAATGGTAGAAAATGGTAGGTTAGTGAAAAATCTAACGGGTGACCCAAATTTGCGACCTCCATTCTTATTTCCAAACTTTTTGTGATTTGCGTATTCCACCTGTACATACAATATATATTATATAACAATTTACTTACATTAAAGATAGTATACCAAAAAGAAATTAACTTTGATGCATGTTCTTTACCTGATAATCATGCATTTTGATCTCGGGCATAATATTTTTTATATAAGGCTCTGAAAAGTATGGGAAAGCCCATATGACTGGTAAAACTTTATCAGCAGTTTCACACACTGTATTATACAAGTTAGAAAGTTCTTTTATGGTTTGTATCAAAGGTTCAACTCTACCACCAAACGGTGGGTCCATTACAATTGCAAGACCTTTGTTTCTGAAAAACGATAAATATTCTTAATACACGAAAAATATAAAAGCAATTTTCTATATAACACATAACTTAGTAATATATTAAAATGAATTTTCAATATAGATAGTGGTTGGTAAGTCAAAATGCCTGTGTCTAGCAATGGGTGCATTATAGTTTCTATTGTTTATGTATTTGTTATTATTAGCTTACCGCCCGCAGCTTCGCCCGCGTGGAGTTCGGTTATATCGCGTTTCCAAGAGAACCTTTCAAAAGTCTGGGATAAAAACTATCCTATGTTCTTTCTCAAGGTCAACTCTATCTCTATACCACATTTCATTAAAATCAGTTCAGTGGTTTAGGCGTGAAAGCGTAACAAACAGATAGACAGACAGAGAGTTACTTTAGCATTTATAATATTAGTTAGGATAGATGACTAAACTACAATTTTCCTTATATAACTTACTTGGACTGTTTCATGAATTTCTTAAGTATTTTTTCATCCTTATTACCGTCAAACAGGTAGTTGTTAAACATATTATACCATAAAAACTTGTTGGTGGGATGGAACAGGTGGTGGCGAGTGTCATAGTCGAGGAGCAAGGAGTTAAACTCGGGATGATCTTGAGCTGCTTCATGGATCGTTGGAGTTCCGATACATAGGATATTGCTGGAAAATGTTCGATAATACTTATTAAAAAATGGATTTTTATAAAATCTATTATAACAATATTTAATGTCCAAACAAAAGGTGGTATTCATAATTATTTTTTCATGTCACTGTAATTATTACCTCCAGTAAAAGTTAATAAAACAAAGTCAATAGCTGTTGAAGTATAAAAGGTAAAACCATACTCTTAAACAGCTATAAATGGTTTTAATTTGTTTGTTTAAAGATTTTATTCAATAAAAGGCAAGGATATATTGCATCCCAGGATTATACTCAAAGTATACATGTACACAAAAAAAACTATACAAGTGAAGTATTTATAAGATACTAGCTTTCCGCCCGCAGCTTTGGCCACATGGAGTTAGGTTAGATTGCATTTCCAAGAGAACCTTTCAAGTCTGGGATAAAAAATATCCTGTTCTTTCTCAAAGTCAACTATATCTGTACCAAATTTCATTAAAATCAGTTCAGTGGTTTATGCATGAAAGCGTAACAGACAGACAGAGTTACTTTCACATTTATAATATTAGGGATTATCATTAAATGATTGATTTTGTATATTTGTGACTATCAATATTCATTATACCTTATCTTATTATTAGTCAATATCCCCAGCACAGTGCTAATAGCTTTCTTCGAGAATAAGTACTGTGCTTCATGGCCATCATTCTCGAGGGGCGGTAGTACTGTTGATGGATGTGTTAACTGTTCATTGGTCAGTGATAGAATAACTTTGTGATCTTTTATATGTTTCCTACTCTTTGATATTATGTACAGTTCCTTGCAAGTGTCGCAGTATGCTCTGTCTGATGGATGTCGAAGTTTAACCTAGAATGTGACACATTATTTTATGTTCACAAATGTAACTTCAGAGACGAAATTAGGTATTATATTCTTTTATTGAAAAATTCTTTAATATTGATTGTAAGTTTTTCACAAGTGGAACACATTAGAATTGAATATATATAAATTTCAAACTGCTGCTTCGGTTTATTTTTAAATAATCGTGTTCACAGTAAGAGGACAAGCTTTGAGTAATTTAATAAATCTAACCTCTTGCAAGTTATTCCACGCAGCCTCCTTGTCGAGCTTAGGGATAAGGCTATAATATTTTTCATTTCTTTTCTTCACACCCTCTTTTTTCCAATCTTCTTCCTCGATGTGCACCGTACAGTCTTTTTTATTTCTACATGCGGAACATGCAAAGTACCGGCCCTTAGGGGAGGAAAATAAAAGAGTCGGGCCGTGCAAGCATAAAGGATGTGATGTTACATCTTCAACAACAACCTCTACAGGGCCAGAATTTTGAATTGTTTCTGTAGGCACAAACTTCCTTTTCTTGGTCATCTTAAGTTTATTAATTTTTTTAATGTAATAAAAATAAAGACTACACGTGATAATGGAATGTGACAATAACAGCACGTCCGTAACTTGTCATTTGTCAACCATTGACAGTTTGCTGTCAAAATAAGGCTGAATACCCACCTATGTAATTGATAATTTTGTTTATGTTGATGCTGAGTGATTAAAAGTTTTACTTTCACATGTATCCAAGTGCCAAGTGGCTTGTGTAAAATCACCAGGAATAAGAAAAACATATTCTTTACAAAAGGATATTTTAAGCTGTTGTTCGTAACGTGTTGAAAATGTTATGTATTAATTATTTTTGAGTTTTATATATAAAAATAATTTATATAATTCTAGGTGAGGTTTTATTACTTTTTGTCTGGGAAACTAATTTTTCAAATGTATTTAATACATTTTCACAGTAACACAATTAAAGTGTGTACATGACATTAGATAAAAAGATTCTCTTTCTGGCGAGTGGCGACTGGCAACATAAACCAGAACTCGCTCTTTAGTGTGAATTGTGAAGTATTCCAATTATTGTCATTTTATTTTTCATTTAAATACTTTTTTAATAAGAAAGAAGCAAAATATATTAAAATGAGCGGTTTAGTAAGAACAGCACACAGAGTTATGCAGAGTTGCATAAAAAACTCTGGACTCACCGGAGCTATAGTGTGCAGGACTCAAGCTCCCGTAAAGCGTGACTTCACTAGAGGAATATGGCACATGAGTTGTTCAAAGAGGATGGATAGCTCGTACACATCAGATCTTCTAAAAAATCACTCCAACACATGCAGTTGCGGCTGTGGTCTCAAAGCTCTTCATACTAAAGGTATGTTAACATTTGCCGACTTTTAGGTTAGGATTGCACCACTCGTTATTATCTACTCAAACAAATAAATTAACTTTCTATCACTTGCTAACCTTTTTAAATATTATGTTTATTTAACAGACCAACAAGACGAAAAATCTCCAAATCCTAAACCCCTGGGTAAGCCATCCCAGTCCTGTCCTTTACTTACATAACCTATCCTAGTTTTTATGTTGCATTCCTAAATATTATTATTTTACTCAGTAAACCTTTGTGTAAGCGTATATATGTGTTTTCGTAGTTTATGCATTAGTTTTAATTATTTTAGAGGTATTTTTTGAAGACTAATCCTTAAGACTTGATATTAATATTCATGTGTAGTAAAATATATATGTATATAATATATTAATGTACCATGACCAAATCGGATTTCAAATATGTTTAATACATCCCCGCAGAACTAAAATTCTGAATTATTATATAAATAATTTGGTGTTATCTGTTGGGTAGATCAACCAATATTCACATCCAGGAATGAAGCCCATGCTCTTCTCCTGCATAAAAATATTGGACAAAATTGAAATAAAACTAATATTTTTTCTCATACGGTTTGGTAATTTTGTAATGTCTGTGATCACAAGTCATACAAGATGACCATCTCGCTGAGAGTGTATAATTAAAGATAATTGTAAATGAGTAGTAAAGATGAAAAATATTAGTTTTATTTCAATTAATACTCTCGAAAGTCTTAGATTGCATTATCAGACAAAATAATTGTAATTATTACAATTAATTATTATTTGTTGGTATTTAAACTCATTAAATAATGTGGATATTCAATAAAGTTTGTTATTCAATTCATATTTTTGTATTACAGGTGAACGGGAACTAGTAGAGTTTCTTACAGAGGAGATAGTCGCTGAACGTAAAGCTCAGAAGGTGAAAACACTTCCCGGTGAAGTGGAAGGCTTCAAGGTTCAGGGAGATGGTGCCGAGGTCGTACTCACTAAGCAGTTGAAAGATGAGATGTAATATATTTTATAATAGATATTGGTTTAAGTATACTTAAATTTCTGGTCAGGAATAGAGTTATATAATAATTAAATATAAATGAAACTAATATTTTTCACATGTACTATGCATCAGATGTAATTTTTTTGTTAAAAAACTACATACTACCTATGTTTTTGCTACTTTACAGCAACTGTGGTTACTGGCAGACGAGATGTGACCACCAAAAAATAAAATCGCTTAGTACATCCGAAAATCATTTAAATGAATATTTGCGAAAATCTCATCTCATTAGAATTAAATGTAATTTACAGTACCTATTTTTAAACATGTGAGCTATGGTTTTATACACTGCAATATAAACATAACATTTCATCATTTTCAGTGTTAGAATAACATTCAATGTGAACCACACAGTGGATACAGAAGATTTTGGCGATGAATCCCAGCAGGAGAAGCAGGAGTTCTCTGAAATGAGATCCAAACCGCAGTTTGAAGTGGACCTTGTACGTGGTGATACCACTCTCGGCTTCACCTGTTCTTTCCTTCAGGACCAACCATCAGCCGGTGCCGATGAATATAGTAGGTTTATTTAATTTATCTTATATAATATATTTTTATTATACTTTATTGCACTCAATATCATATGAAATAACATTACATATAAATGGTTCAATACAGAAAATTGAAGGCGAGAGTGGCTTTATCACTAACAGTGATCTTTTACAGGATATTTGAGATGTCACACAATTTTTTTCATAGTATCTCACACTATTTGATCCATCAAAATGTTTTGAGAAAAATAATATGAACAGAAAATACCAATTTGTAAGTAAAATTAAACAAATCTTATTTTTCTGTGTTCATTCAACAGATGACATCTTTGGTATCGATGAGGTGACTTTATACAAGGGGGAATGGTCGGACAAAGTGTATGCCGTCGCTGGTGATGTGCTCGATGGGGTTAGTACTGATATATAAGAACTATATATGCATAAACTAATTTTTAAAAGAGCCAAAATGATCATTTTATATAAGTGTTTTTTTTTAGTTTACATATATATTATAACTCTTCATTGTAGTTATTTACAAAAATAACTATATAAAGAAATAATATTTAATTCGGGAGTTAAGTTTCTTTGCCATATAATATTGAAGTAACAGTACCACATTTATGGTATCACCCATAATGATCATTTGGATCATTGGTTACGAGTTACTACTGTTGACTGTGGTTGTGGGTTCAATTCCCAGCGGGCCAGATTTTGTATCCCCATTTATACGCCATACTTGATTCTGTCTCTCATGATAGTGTTCAAGTGCCAAATATGGGGTAAATAAATTACATTGTGATGAAGATTATTCTCTAATTACATGTGGAGAAGATTTGTTACATGTGACATTAAATTTTTATTTTTTATTTATAGTCTAACATGCCTCTAATAATTAATGGACTAATAAGAATTTTTTTTATATTTTGCAGTATCTCTATGATCTTTTGATGAATCTTCTTGAAGAAAAGGGTATCAGCAATGACTTTGTGCAAAAATTATCTGACTTCAGCACAGCATATGAACACACAGCTTACATCAATCTGTTAGAGGGTATCTCAAAGTTTACTATTGGAAAACAATAAATAATTTGTTCAAGAACTGAGTACCTAATCTGTTGAACCCTCTACAAATACAGTAAAAGTCTGGATATAAATAAAAAGTTTAATACTATTATTGTAAAATAAATGCAAGATAACACAAAATGTTTGAATGAATGTTAAAATGGGTTAAACAAAAGGGATGTCGGCATCAAGAATTTGAAGCATTTATTTTGCTGTAGGATAGCTTTAAAGATTGTTTAGTTTAAAAAGTGATGTTCTGTTAGTGTTATGTTTTTAGTTTGAATAAACGATATTCAAATATCTAAAGAATTTTATTTAACTTCAACATGGAATCTGGCAATACTTAATTTCCTTGCTCCATTTTCGACAAAGGCTATATAAATCCTGACTCTTCCTAATGTGACTATTTTAATAATATATTATGTTTACAATTAATTTCACAAAATTCAATTAATTGTCACTGAAAAAAAAACGAAAATAGTTAAAATAATATTCAATTCACGCAATATATTGCTGTTTTATTAAGTACTTATGCTATATAAATATACTTAATTTTTAACTCTTGTTATGTTTTTGATAAGAAAATAATCATCCAATGATAATTGTGCAAACACTTTCAAAGCCAATAATCATTGAGAGACTATAGTGAACATCGCGCGGATCGATCGGTACTGTCATTTGTCAAAGTGGCAAGTGCCGTAAAATGAAACGAGTTTTATTTTACCTCGCCAAAATGGCTGACGCGTCGTCGTCGGTGCGCGTGAAAAAAATACCCGATAATTTATATGAGGTGTGCTTAACTAATTTAGTGAACTTTTTGCAGAAATGTAAGTGCGAACGGAATGATTTGCGATATTTACCGGACAGCATCCTTATGGATGTTTATTACAAGGTGAGTGCGAATGTTACACTTCTTATCTTTGAATAATGTCGAACAAAAATGCACCGTTACATGAATCTTTTGTGATTGTTGTAATCAGGACACTCCATTTAATGATAATTGAACATTTATGGAGTTCACGGTCATGTGATTATAGTATGGCGGGGTGGTAAATCACTTTCACTGTGACTTGTGAGCTCATTCGTCATACGATCCCAGAGTCTTTGTTGCGAAATCTATTGGATCTATTCAATGTGTTTACAATCATGTCTTGCGTAGTTTAGTAGGTTACAGTATTCGCTGAATGTTTTTAGTGTATTCTGCTATTCAAACGAGTCATAAATAGAGCATAGATGCAAGCGGAAAACCACATGCTTACATAAAGTTTGATCTAAATTATTTATTCGAATATTATGGCTATTAATAGTCATTGAAAATGTTATGCATAAATTTTGCGTAAAAAAGTAATAATAAAATTGATCGTTACTTATACTAAGGTATTATTATAATACAATTAATATATAATAATGTAATCTTCGATTAATGTGTCAATGTCTCTGATTGTAACATGCGAATAAAAACGCCGTGAACTTATAAATAGGTATCTATTGTTCAACATTGTAGACTTGTTCGTTTATTTTTATGTAACGCAACAGACAATGATACGGATTTATTACGAAATTGCATGTTTATAGCACATAAAAACAAAAAAAACAATAGCTTCTGATAAGATAAATAAATAGTATGCGTATAGATACTTAATATAAAAGAAAAAAGAAAACTAGGATCCATTTGTCCTATTTTTGTTAAGAAATTCATCAGAATTGTTTTTATCTTTATTATTTCGAAATAAAGAGGACAAATCGAAAATATGTATACTGTTATTGAAAATATCGCCGTGAAAGTTAGTTCTGGGATTAAATAATTTTTAAGCGGCCTTCCATTTAAAGTTGTTTACTTGTCCGTTTGTTTTCGAATTAAAATTATTATAATTATATTATGTTCGCTTGCTAAACAGGAGACTAGTTTATTTCTGTCGTCGTTTCAGAATCTTCAGAAGTGTTTATCGTGGGTCAATTGTTTATATATAAATCATACATTTATGCACAATTCATTCATATTAATGATTAAACATTACAAAGTAAAAATAATGTATGTCAAGTGATTTACGGTCGTCATTTTAATAAACATGAAATAATTCATCTTGCTCAGAGGATTTGTACTTTCTTTTTACCGTTTTTGGTACTTCCTTATTTTTTTAAATAAATAAACAGCCTCTGTCCTAAATATAAACTTAATGGTCATTTTAAGCCACTATTTTAAAAACACGCGGTTGACTGTTGTAACGATTTAGAATTGAGTAACTAGGTGTTACTTATTAGAGTGTACAAAAAAGAGAAATTCGGAACAATTACAGAATAATGAATAGATTATTAACAAATGTAAGCTAACTTTATTGTATTCCTAATAATTGACACTAAATAATGAAGAATTAATATGTATTTAGTTGGGTATTACGCAAAAACTAGACACGTGGTTCCATCTAGTCACGAGGGTTTATCAATCAATCAATCAATTCTGATTGATATCATTCAAATATATTTATATAAATTTCTGCTGCCACTGCAATATGCTTTGAAGTGTATTTGTTTGAACTGCGCATGCGTATAACACCTCACTAATGACGAGACCGAAATCTACTTCTAAAGTTCTAAATGCAATGTTCTGCTAACCCTGGACATTCGTTGTTTGTTCCAACACCGCGGAAATGAAACGCACACACGCATATTTACATGATAATATAAAAAAATAATATTTAAATTAAATATACGGTCGTATGGGATGCTTGTTGATTTTGTATGAATTTTGCATTTTTTTAATTTGTTACAAGTACATGTGTGATTTTCTTTGACGAACAAAATCTGTATATGTCAGAATAATAGAACTTCAGATCAAAGAAAGATTCCAAATTTATGAAGATCGTCATCAGTCCCATACGTGGTGGAATACGTGAAAGGTATTTGTGATGCTGACCGGTCGTCTTAACGAAAGTGTCCCCGCACATTGAATACTAATAACAAATACACACAGACAACTATACAAACAAGGTCTATATAAACACAGAGAAACTAGATCTACATGTTATTTTCTATAATATTACATACATGTATGATTACTCAACAATTAATGAGCGTACAGGTAAAGTCGTAGTAAGCAACTAGTCTTTTGTATGTTAAATATTTCACCGTCGCCATTAAATGGATTCGGAAATGCCGATGACATTAATAAAATATACAAGGAAGTGAATATTAAGTATATGAAATGTACGCGTGTTTTTTATTATATATAAATACTAGCTTTCCGCCCGCAGCTTCGCCCGCGTAGAGTTCGGTTATATCGCGTTTCCAAGAGAACCTTTAAAAAGTCTGGGATAAAAACTATCTTATGATCTTTCTCAAGGTCAACTCTATCTCTGTAGCAAATTTCATTAAAATCAGTTCAGTGGTTTAGGCGTGAAAGCGTAACAGACAGACAGACAGAGTTACTTTCGCATTTATAATATTAGTAGGGATATCTGAATGAGGCGAGCATAGTCGCGGTTCCCGATATGTTCATCACCTCCTGTCCTCTCAAACGTTCGCTCCATTATCAGCACAGCCTCTCACGTCATTAATCATTTACGTAATAAACCTTTCTATATATACTCTGTATTAAAACATGCGTCATGTTAATTTTCACCAACTTTCTAAATTTTCGACTCTATGTATCTATTTTTTTAACGGCTTCTGATTAATTGAATATCCAAAAAATAAAACAAAAAATATAAGTTTAAATTGAAATGGATACGTAAATGCTCATGCAATTCTATCAAAGCTAAATTTTATTTTTAAGTAAACAGAAAATCGTCTTTTCAATTTTTAAAATGTTCTATGTTGTTCTTCGTTATCAGCAATCATTCCACGGTGATAACAGATTGTAATATTCTTCATACTTACTCCCAAGTTTCCATCGTCACAATACATCTTCTTCTTCTACCTGGCAATTTCCCAGCTATAGCCAGGGTCTGCCTTACATGTTGTCAATAGTTTTTGGCTATTTGTTTTTACGACCGGCCGCCTGCCTGACATCAACCCTCTTTTTGGGAATCAACATTAATCAGTGATGTCTAAATACTCTTAGATCGTCACAATACATATGGACCCTAAACAGTTTTTTTATCAATAATTATTTGCTTTGTACGATTTATGGATAAGAAACAAGAAAATTTTCATGCATAGTGTAAAGTTTCGTAATTTCTGGTACCGGCGTTAAGTTGTCCATCAGTTTTACATGATCAAGTGTAAATCTTATCATTGTTATCAACAAGCTATCAGCTGTGAATGTCAATTACTCTTAAAATAATTTTCTGTTGTATATAACGTGAAATTACTTATTTGTATACTCAGTACAGTTCTGAATGATGAAATAATACGTACTATGAACTTGGAATGTTAATCGTATACTAACAAAATACATCTATTCTCCAACTACCCTCATTAATTCATAAATGATATTAAATATTCTTAACTCAGAAAACTATAATGTGTATGTACAGATATAAATTTTAAAATTAACATAATATATAATGCAACTTCAAATTGGAAATATATATGTATAATAATAAAATTACGATGAGCAGGATTTGATGCTGCGATCGGGAATACCGTTTTTCACTTAATTTACTAACTAAGCCATCGTCACTTATTTCATAGTATATGTTCTATTTGATTTTTAATACCAGTATCATTTTTTAATTAATAAAATAAATATATAAACATCATCCAGTTAAGTATGTGTATTGAGAGATCACATAAGGCATAGATATAGTATTAATAATTTTAATTATATTAGGTATAATATTTTCTATCATGAAAAATCCCTAAGTATTATAAACATCCACTGAAATTCCTATTTAGATATTTGGATATCGATCGACTGAACATAGTAGCTTTGTAATAATACTACCACCTATACAATGGAAAGAAATATTTAGATGTTCATTGTTTGTGGGTGAGTTCTATTTGTCGTATCAATGACATAAATCGCCTGAATGTACCATGACTTTGTGTTAATGGAACTTATGTTTGCCATACGATTTCACACGCCAGATAAAACAATAAAACAATGTATAACTAACACATACAATATTTATTATTTACTAGTTTTTGCCTTCGACTTTATCCGGGTTAATTTCGGAATTAGCAATATGTTTGGCTGACCGGGTCATCTTTATTCCGCTCTGAAGGCCGTAAATAACCAATTAGAATTTATTAAGATTTTTTTCAATCGAATACAATTAAATATCCTATGTCCGTCTCCTGGTTTTATCTCCCCACCAATTTTCAACCATATTCCTACAGCCGTTCTTGAGTTATAAATAGTGTAACTAACACGACTTTCTTTTATATACATATTATAAGTATAATGAAATTGAAAGCGAACCAAATAATATAAAGTATAAATATTAAATAGCAATACAGTTTCATATTTCATCGACGCTCGTAAAATTTTAATAAACAATTTCTAATCACGAACGTTTTGTATGCCAAGCAAAGTATGCTAAGTTTTATTTGAAATACTGATATGATATTTGGCTGACTTAATAGCGGTAATAAGATTTGAGAAGAAGGTTTATTAATGTTTCAGATGGATTAAGATCATGGTTATTGAGATAAACCAGATCATATAAATATGTTCTGAACAAGGTTTTGCAAGTTTTTTTTTAACATTTAATGTTTAAATTCAATTTTAATTAACAATAAATAAAGTGTGGAGACGTTCCAAGTGTTCCAAGTGTGGACGCGTGCGGCGGCGTGCTGATACAACACAACGCCACCAAACGCGTATGTGTGAGTGTGTGTGTATACCTAATCTGTAGGGTGTTCACACGATGCGTAATTAATTACATAACTTTTGGTTAACTTTACTTAGAAGTTTATTAATATTTATGTTATATTAATTTTTATTTTGTC